ATATTTTCAGAAGAGCAATATATATAACTACTATAATCCGTTTTGCTGCTCTGCTAACACCACAGTACAGTAAATGCTGGGAGGGAAAACTGATGAAACTCCGCCTCCTTTTCCTGTCTCCCAACTGTTTAAAAGCTTTCAGTGATTTTAAAGCATCTCTTTAAAGAAACCATCAAAACCAGATAGATAGCAGGTTTTTGTTTTGTTTTTTAACAAATTTGGCTTTTGAGTGGAATGACTTTTCCTGGATATTTTTTTTAAAAACCCAGGTAATCTCCAAGTCTTTGTTTCCTTGTATCAGTCGCAGTTTAAAAATAGCTGGGAAATAGCTTATCTTGAGAATATATGGCAAGCAATGTATATAACAGTAGTTAGTATATGTGTTCTGTGCAGCTAGGTTATCATTGTGCACATGCTTTTCTGAGAGATGGTTTCTAATTTGTGAAAGCATATTTTGCTTTCGTGAGCCTCTGTTTGAGAACAAAGCTTTTGACAGCCAAGAAAGATGTCTTGCATGGAGGAAGCAGGCAGCAATACTGTTCTCTTGATCAGGGATTCTGAGCTGAATGCAAACCATTATCCAACTCACTTGCCAGCTTTTGTGATTTATCCATGTGCAAGGCTGGTTAATGTCTCTATGGTAGTTATTGTTCAGTGTTAGTAAATGATTATAATATCTTATTTATCTTTAACAACATTGTAAGAGGAAACTGCATTTAGTAATCAAAGTGGCTAATTTAATAGGAATGAACCAATGGGCTTTTTGGAAAAGAAATATTACATAGTCTGTAATCTATTTTAAATTGACAATTTCAAAATTGGACCAGTGCAGTTTTGCAATAAGCCACTTTGAAATAGGATCACTGGCTGGGTTACATTATCGTTGCTTTAAAAAAAAAATCAGTCTGCGAATTACGTTGTCAGTTTGTATATTTTATTAGGTTGTCAGTTTGTATATTTAATAATACTGGTCTAGAATTAGAACAACTAATTTGAAAGATTCTATTGTCAATATGGGTCATAATATTGTTGATACAAGGCTCTGTGGTGCTTTGTGACAGCATGGGAAGTATCTGCATCCATTTGCAATTATCACAGTTAATGCATGTCTCAGCAGGTGGCAGCACCTCACTCACCTTAGCTTAGAAATATTGGACCTGGTAGTATGTGGACAATGTAATTGTTCAACTCCTTCAAGTACAGTCTAACATTATCTTAAATGGTCCTTGCACAGATTTGAAGTAGAAGATCTTAATAGCTGTTTAATGATGCAAAACATGTGAAATGCAGCTAATAGATATAACAATTAAAATTGCTGTAAGCTTATTGGGCTTACTATAGTTATGACTGTGGTAGGTAAAATAAACAGGTGCTTTATATGAAAACCATCTCTTGATCCACCTAGCTCAGTGTTGCCTATTTTTAGATACTTCAAAGATGCTCAAAATGTTGACTCTCCTGCATCAGACGTAGGTTTTCTCTTATTGAGTTATAAAGCCTTCTCTTGATTATTTAGATTATCTCTGCATGAAAGTATATATAGTTTTGTTGTTTTGAAACAAAAGATTCTAGGTAGATCTTACATTAAGCATACTTGAGTTTCAAAGTATTACATGCAATTGATATATTCTTTACTTTGTCTTCCAGTTTCTGTAACTCATAATTATGGAGCCAAACTTGTAAAATTATTTGATTTGTTTAAAGTTATTATTAAAATGTTGTTTGCTCCCCCAGAGTAGTTGTTTGTGCCACCCATAATAGTCTTCAATGAGATGGGCAACTATACAAATTTTATAGATAAAAATAACATAATTTATAGACTCAGTTTATCAACTTATATTCTCTATTAATAGAAGAGGGATTTTTCTCAACTTAACTTTATTGTATTGGTTCAGAATTTCAGGTTTTGCCCAATGTAGCCTCATCTTACTGTCCAGAAATCTATAAAATGAAACACTTCAATGCTTACAAACTATTACTTGCAAATAACTAAAAATAACTAAGAAAATGGAAGGCAGTTCTGTTTGGTAGGTTCATTATGACTAAAGTACCGGTAGTTTGTTACCCTGTTTGTAGAGTGAGTTATCAATGATAAAAAGGAATATCTTTGGGAAGAATAGTATTTGGTAGGAGAAATGTTTAGCATTTTTTGTTGTATTTAAAAATCCTTTTTCCTAAGCAAGCATAAGTTCGGCAGCAAGTTAAGCCTTTGACAACACTCTGGCTCCCACTTACAGTGCAGCACAATGGCTACATTGAGTATAGCTGCTGGGGAAGCCCTCCTTTCCTGCTGATTTTGTAAATGCAGTTCTTTCTCTGTGAAATATCCTGACATCAGCTTTTGGAAAAATCCAAGGACTAGTGTCATGGAACAGTGCTAAAGAGCTGGCCTGAACGAGGACTGAATGGCTAGACTTATAGCTGAAACTTTAGTAACTAAACCCTTACACTTTCACTGTATTTATACTTCAGTTGAGAACCACCAAGATAACAGTACAAGTAGTCCTTGCTTAATGACCAGTCACTTAACTACTATTTGAAGTTGCAACAGTCTTTAAAAAAATCAAAAAACAATTGCAACCCATCCTTGACGTTACAACTGCCCTCCTCCCACAGTCACATGATTGCTTTCTGTGTCCTTGACAACCAGCTCACATTTGTGACTAATTGCAGCATCCTGTGGCCAAAACCACTCATTAGGGGAAATGGACGTAGTTCACTTATCAGCCATGTGATTTCCCTAATGACCATTGCGACTCTCTGATTGTTGCAAAAATGGTTCTAAAATCAGGTAAAATGATATGGTGAAAATATTTAACCATAACATCTTGACCAGAATTACAGGCCCAACTGCAGTCGTTAACTGAGTGCTACTTATATGTTCAAGAGTCAAGACTGGCTCAAATTTTGAAAACAAAACAAAAACTTCAGCTGTGTATAATATTTTTTCTAATATAGACATTAATCCATTACTTAAGGGTTGGTTTCAGAGAAACCGAACGTTACATTTGCTATGGCATCCCATGTATGATAGTGTAGCATATGTTTGAAAAGCATATTGTTTTTATAATTTGCTAAGACCTAATGTTTGAAATGGGCTGAAAGGTTAGTGGAATACATTGTGCCAGTTTTGAACCTCTTTCAGACATCCTACAATAATGTCTCCAGTGTTAGTCCTCCCTGAATAATACTGTACATGTCCTTTGATGATTCATACAGTATCATCTGATGTGGTCATCTCAAGGTAATTTGTGAGGATTGTCAGTTGGCTGCCTCTCTGATTTCCTGTTTTGATAGTCCTGACTATCTTCTGTTTCTTTAGTTCATAGTTAAAAGCAATACAATAGCAGTTGCAATTTTTAACTTAATGCAGTGTGAAAAATCTTTTTTACTTTTTGTGAAAATCATCATCATGTAATTTCAGTGCTATAGAGTTTATTTTGTAGAGCTTCCCTTCAATAAAACAAATCCTCTTTCTAATAGAGTGGGATGTTCACCTAGGTGTAGTACAGGTTTAAAATAAGACAAGTCTCTTGTTCAAAACATGCCTGATATAACAGTTGTTGAAAAGAAGAAAATATGGTTCATCCTTGTTGCTACATAAAAACATGCTGCATGGAACTACCTATAATCTTAGATGCTGCCTAAATAATTCTTAGTGTGGTATCATGTTGGAAATAGAATTTTACCTCCATGGTAATTTTGATATTAAACCATGTATTCAGCATATAATCATGTTCTGTGAAACATTCATATGAGTAAATTTTTTACCCTTGTATATATGTTTTGCCTCTTTGATGCTATATTAAAGTTAGTGTTAGCTTTTATTGAATTATACAGAAGAGAGCAGGATTTTGATAAAGGCAGGACATTTCTCTAAATTAATTTGTGATCTTGATCTTTTATGCATACTAAGTGATAACATTTCACGTTGGAAAGGAAAGACTAACATTCTACGGTTCCAGTCTCTAAGGAGTGGCAGTGCATAACAGCAATATATCAGATTATTTGTGGGTTTCTCTGTCTGTTTTGCTATCATTACTCTTAATTGCTCCTCTCTCCCCTTCAGGATGGGTGAAGGGAGAGGGGGAAAAATAGGATTGGGGACTCTGGCTTGTGCCGATAAGGTTCTGAGAATCTATCCCAGAAGTCCTTTGTAAAATTTGTCCTCTTGACATATGCAGCCTCGCTTGGAATCTAGATGTTCATGTAGAAAGATGAAGGCAAAGAAAGAATAAGTATGGAATTCACAGTAATTTATTGAGTGTTTATCTCTAAACCTAGAAACAAATTTGCTCTAAATTTTAGTAACAGAATTGAAAAATGCTATAAATGCTAATACTAGTTTTATTAATAAAATGTTTAAAGCTTTGAAACAAAGCTGCTTAATTGCATTATAATGCTATACAGTTTATAGCCAATTTTTAGTTGAGAGTTTTGTGTAGAGTGAAATGAGTTACTCAATTGTTTTTGTGTGCAATAGATTCTTAAATACTTTTCTTATAGATGCTTTAAATAGCTTAGAATACTGCATATATTTGTTAAAATCTATTACGTTGAATTTAGGAGTAAATCAATTATTTTATAGTTGTTTGACTGAACATATGACTGAATTATATACTAGAATATTAATAGTCCTGACGAATTTAGCAATACATCTCATTTTAGGGATTCAAGTAATTTTATCATAATGAATTATTTCAATAGGTAGAAGAAGTATGAGTCTTCATGTGGAAGAAAGAAATAGAATATTTATTTAACAGAAGCACTACTTGAAAGACACCTTTACAATTGTTGTGTAGTAGAGTAGAATCCCATGAGCAGATTTTTTAGATTTTTTGTGGAAACCCAAACAACAATTCAGAATTGTGCATCTTAAAAACAACGAAATAAAAGTGATTATCCTTAAATCTATTACATGCTGGCTGACATTGATTTCTTGTAATCTGGAAACAATTTATATGGTACTAACTATTTGTATTTGTTATTTTACTTTTCAGGTTTCCCCTCAAAAAACCTACAAGGTAAGTTTCTAAAGGTTTGACTTTCTGTATTTACTAATAAAATTCTGGTCCTCTCCCATCTTCCAGTAAGCTAATATGGAAGGTTTGGGATATATTTAACTGTACTCCACTAACAACATTGAATTATCTGAGACATAGGAAATGAACCATGAATTCCTGCCTTTAGATAGATTGTTTTCCTGAATAGAAATAATGTGGAAAATGGGCACATATTAATGCGTTTCTTAAAATTAGCTCAGTTTATGTAATGCAGTAAAATAAATGATTCTGTTCCCCTTTCTGTTTGGCTTTAGGCATGGCAGCATTCTGAGCAGAGAGTCTCCAGCAGACAAGAAGCAGAAGGTTGAGCGCTGCATTAGTGCCCATGATTTTGACCCAACAGGTAGAATTACCTTCACATCCCAAAGAACACTCAGATTTTTCTATTGTCCAGCTTTGGAATTAAAAAGTTGACTAACCTCTTTTGCCAATATTATATTCAAGGACAATAACAGGGTTTCTGCAGTTTTTATTTTCTACTTTAATTGCATAATTTTTGTCAGTGAGGTTTCACACTGTTCCTTATTCTTGTGTTTCTGAGTTGTATACTTCTGGAGTTGCATAGTAAAGTGGCTTTTGTTTGTTTTAAATCTACCTAGAAAGTTGAATTCCAAGGTAGAAAACTACACATTAAAGAAGAACGGTTTTTGAAGCCTTATGGGCAGATTATATAACAGATATGTTTTAGTTTTCCCCTGTGTTCTTATTTTGATTTAGTTTGAGCCTCTGTGACTGTTCTCTGTTTATTTTAGTTGGAAAACTATGTTGTAAATGTAGCATCCTGTAGTACACTTTCTGCACTTACAAACAGAGCCCATTGTGACTTCTTTAATCATTAGAAACTCCAACTTTGTTTGAATGTTAAGCTTCAGGAAACAAATGTATGAAGCCTATCCAACAGTTGTAAACTGCATTAAATTTTACTCATTTGCCTGTGATTATACCCATCTGTATATATATTTCCTTTGAATTAATAGGGATGATAGTATTAGCATTGATATGGCAGTGTTATTGCCTCTCAAGGCCATCTGCTGGGAAACTATGAGAACAGGCTGCTGGAATAGACAAGCCAAGGGTCTGATCTAGCAGATCTTTCTTATTTTGATAAAAAGAAAAGGCCATATTACTAGTAATTAGCCCATGTGAGCCAATGTAAATGAGAAATTGCACAAATTTATATTTATTTTGCAGGCTTTTTCTTGATTATACTGCAGCAGATTAAAAAGTACAATGTTCAGTTTACCTGTCTTTGGGAATTCCTTTGGGTGGGTCTTATATTCCATTTTCTCTTCAGCACTCAATCTTGTCCTATAGATAACAGCTGGATGGATTGTAATGTCTGCTAGTTTGGCTTGCCTACGGCGCAAATGCTTAGCTTTTCTCAGCTCTGGAGCTGAGGAGTGTTTTCTTCTGAATGAAATTTCTCTCAATTACTTTATATTTCTGTCAACTTTAACTGGACACATTCATTTTCTTTCTTTTGTTTCCCTGTACTTGTAGACCATCTGTATTGCATTCAGAGTCTAATGCTGTCTTGGAAATTAGTCTGCATGTGAAGGTTCCACCCACCCCAACCTACTAACCCAGACTGACTGCTATATGCTCCTAACTGTGTGACTGGCTTGCGGGTGAGCCTCTTGGCCCCACATGGTGTGTTGCTTTTAAATTGTGCAATTTAGCTATTCTGTCTGTTATTCTCTAAGAATTTACCACATATGAGAATAACTTTAAAGATCACATTGTGTGATACAGGAAGATGTATAACTATAGAGAAAAAGAACATACTGTGTTGGGATGAAATGTTTATTCCTTCTCTTTGCTGATAAGTTACCAGATGAGATCTTGGAGGTAGATCTAAAGCTTGAATTTTGGAGAATTGGCTATTTCCTGCGTAACATAATGTAGCATTTCCCTTTCTGTAACATAAAAATAATACTTCCTTAGAGTTTGACTGTGAGGGTGAATGAAGTGTGATCTTTTTAAGACTTGGGCTTGTAATATAAAAGTAGCTGATATTTCCAAATTTTGCCACACTAGTACAAATGAACATCAAAAAGAATTGAAATAAGAATAGCTACAGAAATGAAAGTATATTTATACTTTCATATGTCCCTACAAGCATTGTAATTAGACATTTTCAGGATCCTTTGACAGTATATCTCCTAAGAAGAGATATCCCTGAAGCAACACATCATCCCTAGTTATTTCAAGGGTGGAAGAAACAAGTATTTCCAAAGTAACCAAGACTTTCTCCCTTTCCCATTGTGGTTGGGATACTGCAAATATTAATTATTTCCTGGGTACCATTGGCAAATGTAGGGCTTTGTATAAAAGGCTGCGCATTGCATTTTTGTATTAATAAAACATCTTTTCCAATTATTCTTTGCTGTAGAAAGGAGGGAGCTTGATTATGATGCCTTCTTTTTTCTGGAACTTTACATTTGATGTTACCTATACAGTCAACTACTATTATTTCACATTCTGATTTCAGATGTTACCATCTCTGTATGCTCATATCTTGTTTGTGTTTTGCATGAATTAACCCAATTGTAGAAATCATTTTTAATGAAGTTTTTCCATGTTGGTCTCCATATTTCCTATATCTCTTTTCTCCTTTTCTCCTGCTTTCGTGCAGATAGCTCCTCCAGGAAGACAAAGTATAGCTCAGAGGAGAGTAGATCCGAGACATATGGTAAGCTGAAGCAGCCACTGTAGCCTTGTGCCTTTGTTCGGTGTGTTCTGTTCAATTGTTCTGTGTGCTCAAGGCCTCTGCCTTTTCCCTGCTATGCATGGCTAACTTTGCATCAGGGGAAAGGATTGAGCTTCCATGTGGCTTAAATGTGCAAGCTTGCTGGTGGATACTAACCTTTGTAGCGAATATTAGATATTTTTTATATTGTCTTCCAGGATCTAAGTGTCATCTTTTCTTTGGGTTGGAAAGTTTGAGGAATTGGCACTAACCATTCATTATGTAGGTAAAACAATTTTATGAAAGTGTGGAGTTGTACTCTGTGGAATATGATAGTGGTTTGCTTGAAAAAAGGTACAGTCTTTTTATTTATTTTTTTAGCTTCTTGAATATAACTTGTGGTGTAGGTACTCTTTTATTATATGAAATATTTTTGTAAAATTCCATAGAACTGTAGCATGGAATGGATGGCTTTCTAACCACAATAACATTTCAGTTAATTGCATGATAGAAACCTTCATAGCCTGCCTTAATTTTTGTCTTCTGCTATTTAACCCTGTGAATAGTTGGATATAGCTTAAATTGAAACGTCCAAAGATATTAAGATTATTGCTCATAACCAGTTCCCAGAGATTTTCCTGGATTTCCTCCATCCTCCACCCCACCCCCACCCCATCTCTTGTGTATAGAGACTGAAAGTTTTATAAAATAGATACCTCTGTCCCTTTGATTGATAGATAAGAAACACCTATAGGGGAGGCTGTAGATATACTTTAGCCATCTCTTTAAAAACATTTTTTTATATAAAAACTGTTTGCAACAATGGGTGGATCTGGTTTTATTAAATTAAAATCCCTTTACAGGGATTTTATATAGTTCCTTTGGAGTTATTTGCATATTTTTCTACATTCAGAAAAACCATTTTTACATAAAAATTTAAGAAATTGTAATGCAATTATATTATACAGAGATGTACCTACTAGTCTTAGTCTTTTCTAATGTACTATTGGGAAAAACCACTGCATAACAAAGTTTTTTTTTGTGAAATAACTAATCTACCTTGTTCATGGGAATATTTAGTATGCATGTTAGAATTTATCTGTAGTTTGTTTTCTCTGTTGCTTGCTATATCTTGACTTTTCATAAACATATGTGTAATAAAGCATGACTTCATAACACAGCCTGTTTCCTCTCAGACTTCCTGCAAAAATTCTATGTTCAGTTACAATTTAACTATGAAAGCTCCACTCTATTCTTTGCAGTAATCATTTGCTTTCTTAGGATGCTTCCTTTTCTCCCTCTTCTTTCTTGTTCTGAAATCCGTGTGGAAACTTGGCAATATTTGCTTTGGATAGAGAAGCTATTTAAGAAACTTCCAGCAGAAAATGTTGTGCTTTATATTGCTGATGACTGCAGTCTTTCTGCTTGCTTTTGGACATTGGGAAAAAATATCTAAAAGTGTCAAAGGGGATTAAAGGTGTGGCAGTCAGCTTTTTGAGGTGAAAACTATTGAAATTCCTTTTCTGAATGAAAGGTCCATAGACCTTGATTTCTGTATGGAAAGATGTAAAGTAAGTAAAGAATACCGTTTTAGTGGGGATTTTTTTCAGTCTTTCTGTTTAACACCTGAAAGAATGTTTGCTATAGAATGGTTAAATGTTATTTTACTTTATATTTTGAAGAAAGAGATCTACAGCACAATTCCAAGCCTTTGTCTTGAATCAGTATTATTTGATAAATATTCTGGTTTGCACTTCAAGAAAAGTAATTTTAGACATTTAAACGCTTCTAAGAAGGCATGTTGAAATCAAGTTATTTACAGAAATTGTAGATTCCTAATAAAAAGACATGCAGATCTTAAATGCGAACATTTTTGACATAAGTATGACTTAGTTTTACTTTTTAGTTATTAATGAACATTAATCAGCCATCCATTAAGATTGCTATTTATTTCAATCAACTTTACAGCTTTTAAAACACACTGTTGTATAAGCTAGACACCATGAATACAAAAACAGAGGTTCATAAATCTCTTATATATTTGCTTGCTTTACTTTTCAGATGGATACTTTGTGCTATTCCATTCCATTTATTTAAGTCTTTCTGTATCAGTTCTTCATTATGTGTGAGCAATTGCTTGCATAATGAATTTGCAAGCTACTGTATTTATCAAGAATTATTGCTGTATCAAGATTTATTCTTAATAAAAGTTGGTTTACCCATCACATCCGTGTTCTAAATAGCTGAATTGATAGAGCTCTATCCAGTGATGTTTGGATGAATGCTTTAATTTTGCTCTAATATTACTTAATTTTGTATTTGAAGTTAATTGGCCAATTATCTGAGCAATTGGATGCTTTTGCACTTTTCTCCTACTTTCTTATTCAGGTCAATTATTTATGAGGCAGCTTCCTAGATATACAGCCACATTTTAATAAAAAAAAATCAATCTGTATCTATTCTACTTTATTATCCATGTAGCAATGGACTGTTGCACAGGGTTGACCCAGAGCAAGAGACAAAACATTAAAGTTAATCTTCACTTAGTTTACATAGTATTTACCTCATTAAATAGAGAAATCCGCTTTACAGTTATTACAGCCTTCAGTTATTTTATGCCTAATGTTATGAGAAAAGAAGCTACACAGTAAGCAATCTGAACACCATATCTAATAAAAAAGTATATCTTTGTTCTCAGTAGAATCTAGGCAATAAGAGCGTATTATCTTGACAGTCTTTTCCCACAGTGGGAAGAGACAGTAAAATAGGCAATTTTCAGTCTGGAATTGGCAATATCTTTAGAGAATCTTTGCATTAAAGAGATGTGATGATATTACCCTGTGATAAGTCTGGCACGGTTTATAAGAAGTGTTATTAATTAAATAACCAGCTGTTTTGGTAGTTTGTTGCCAGGGTAACACCCTGTGGAACAAATCTAGGCTTTGATGACTTTTGTCAATTTTAAAGTCATACCAAAACAGAAAACAGCCCAAGCCCTCAGCTCCTTAGTGTGATTCAATGCAAATGTATCCATGAATGGGAGAGAATATGAGTGGAATCAATCACTGTCTGCTGATTCCCATAACTTGTGATTCCTGAATGCATCAAAGTACTGCTTAATTAGGAGATTACTATCAGTTAGCGAGATACATTCTTGATAGCTAAGATTTTTGAATCTGAGTTGTCACCGAACATAAATACACAGAAAGGTATTTGGAGTTCAACACTCCAAAGAAGTTCTGATGCTCTTTCATTTGGGTAGCCCACATCTGACTAAAATGATCAGCTTCTCTGAAGAAAAAAAGAGAAGTAGATTGCATCCCTTGAAATTAAGGTTTTGTTGAAATATAGGTAATAATTTAAAGATGCAAATATCTGAATGAGTACAAAGTGGATCTTCATGGCATTTAATAGATTAGCATCTTGACTGATCATTCCTCTCAGTTGAGTGTGCAAGGCTGTAATTTACTTTGTAATAATGAGCTGAAAGCATGGTCAGCTTCCACTCCCTGAGAATTTAAACAGCTTATTGGTGGTTACTTTTCTGCTAGTGGAAAAATGTATGAATCAGATACATTTGAGTGAATCTTCAGTCATTTTTGAGAAGAAGACATTTCATCCATTTTATTCGGAAAGGTTATATGTATGGAATGATTTAATAGCAGTAGCATTTAGATGTATATATCACTTCATAGTGCTTTACAGCATTCTCTGAGCACTTTATAAATGTCAGCCTATTGCCCCCAACTATCTGGGTCCTCATTTTATCGACGTCGGAAGGATGGAAGGCTGAGTCAACTTTGAGACAGTCAGGACTAAACTCCTGGATATGATCAATGAATATGATCAACAAGGGGACCTTGGTTCTTTCTGAGCTTGCTTGTTTTCTTGCAGACGTTTCATTACCCAAACAAGGTAACATCAGGTAACATAGGCAACAACCAAGCTCTGAGAGCACCAAGGACCCCCTCATACCAACTCTGTGCTATAAATATTCTCCTTTATTAATATGATCAATGTACGAAAGTGAATTTATCCTTCCTATTTCTACTTCATATAATCAGTACTTGAAAGGCAACTGCCTTACTATCTTCTGCCTTCTGTCCAAATCTTTCATTTTCATTTTTCTTCCATTTGGTGGCCTTTGAGAAACTTTCACCAGCATATGATTTTTCTCTGATGCCTACACTGATGTCTCATTGTCATTTTTTTTTTCCTTGTGCAGGTCTAGTTCAACGATGTGTTATTATTCAGCGGGATGAAAATGGATTTGGGTTAACAGTCAGTGGTGACAACCCTGTCTTTGTACAGTCTGTCAAAGAAGGTAAGTAGGGATGATTCAGGACCACTTTGCCTGTTAATGTTCTATCAGACATATCTTGCAGTATACAGCTGTAATGCATGAAATATAAATGTGCTCTGTGCTGTAAAAACATGCTTAAGTCATTCTTTGTTCAGTGTGGCCCTTGCACAACAGGAAGGAGTCTGGCAGGATATATTCCAACGTTTTATTAAAAGGGATGAGTTTTTGTGAGCTGAAGTTCCCCCAAAGCTTACACCTTTTAGTAAAACCTTTCTAGTTTTTTGCTAACAAGACAATTTTTCTACAATACCTTGCATAACTGGAAATGTTAGAAATAACGTATTGAATTCTAAGCAGCTGATTCTTCTCTCTAGATGGAGCAGCCATGCGGGCTGGGGTTCAAACTGGTGACCGGATCATTAAGGTAGGATCATAAAGTGCTGGAAGAATAAATTGAAGGAGGTGAAAATTAGAAATGCTTCAGTAGTTTTCATCACTGTATATGTTTTGCTAAACCTAACCTCTCAGGAACAGTTTGAAATGTACGCTGTCTACCTATATTTAGAATTAGCAATACAAGTAAACCTTTTAGATGTACAGGTGCAGTGAGGGCTGTTCATTGAAACTGAATGTTAAGTGGCAAATTAGTATTATTTTTTTCAAACCAAAAACAAAACCCAGGCTTATTTGAGACAAAAAGAGGCGGTCTGCTATTTGAGCATCTGAAGTCCATTGGACTTAAGTTGGTGCTTAAGCAATAAATGCCTTATTGAGCAATAGATCAATATTAGTAGCAATAAGTGCCTGTTTCCAGCTGCTTTTTAAAATAATTTTGCCTTGTAGGCTGATAGAAATGGTACTCAATTCCAACTTTATGCCCTCAAAAAGGCTTAAAACTTGAATGCCATATACATGGAAGCAGAACCAGAATTCCTGCTTATAATTGCAATTTATTTTTTTCTTAACTGGCCCTCAGAATCCCTAAAATGTGGCTGCAGAGTACTATGTCCATAAAAAAAATAAAGTCTTTCTGTTTTACAAGCATATGCTCTGTATGCTGATTTTGTTTCTAAAAGAGGTGGCTAAATCTTGGATGATACTTTTGTTCACCATGATGTTGGGACAGATTTCCTTATAAAGAGCATGGTGGATGTTAAATCAGCTTAGTTCTATAGATTAGAAGTTCAGTCATCTAACCTAAACTGAAAATCAAAATAAGCTCATTTGTTATCTTTCGGTAGGTGAATGGAACTCTGGTAACACATTCCAATCATTTGGAGGTGGTTAAGCTGATAAAGTGTAAGTAAATGCTAAACTACGCTACACTGTGTATATTCTTTTAAGAGATTTCAGGAAGAGATGATGAAAGTTAAACTTACATGATATTTTCAAGAATTTGAATTAACAATGGTATTGAAATTTCCTATATTTCAAAAACTAAGAGTGTAGTGTTTTGGAAAACATTTTCAAGAAAACCTCAAGGCTGTTGAATGTATTTTGATGGACAGTTGACTTCCACTACACTGTGTGTTATCCCAGTTTCTATTTTTGTTGTGTCGATCATCCGCAATTGATCCAGTTGCCTGTCTTTACTGAGTCCATGTTAAGGCTTTGCTGTTTTGATGCTCTTCTGATTCCAATCATCTCCATTCTACTTCCTTCCAGAAGTGTTAGTATGCTTCTTCCTCAGTTTCTCTTAAAGAAGGTGAAGTTTAAATAACAGCAGATTGATTCAAAGCAACCCCTTTTCTGCACCCCCACCCTTGAAACTGTGGATATCAGTTCAATACCACAACTATAAACGAGCTGAATAAATTTGACATCCTTGAATTTATGATCAGGTGGGCAGATTGGATCACTGACACATTGTACCAAATTAATACACTTATGCAAAACAACTACTTGTTTTTTCTCCAGCATGCTTATGGGAGAATCCACACATATGGGTTGAATCTGCCTTTCTGCCCAGAGACTGAGTCATCAATCTTTGCCACACCTCTTCCCGTCGAGCTAGGAAGTCCCCAGTCACGACTCAGTCTTGGCCCGATAGAGACGTGGCAAAGGTTGGCTCCCGTGATATTTTGGAAAAGCAGCATTCTTCATTGTGTGGATTCTCCAAAAGTTTGCAATACAGAAGGTAGGCAAAAGTTGGATCCAAAGCCCATTCTTCGCCCTGTTTATTGCACAGCTTCCCCTGAATCACCAATAAGGGCCCAATAGCCAGGCATAGAGGGGACAGCTCTTCATTAATTTCCACCCCTTAGGGGGTGCGCTGAAGAGCCACAGCTGCAAAATCTTCCTGAGTGCCCATTTCATGCCCAGGCTTGCCCAGGTAACTCGGGTAGGGCCGTTTTTCACTTTACTTCCCGCAGCTGATAGTTGGGGCTAGTGACCGCCATTTTGGAAGCGACCGCGTGGCGAGTTGTGCTGGCTCCCCCAGGAGACTCTGGTCTTGCTCAAATACCTATACAATTCTGTTTCCTTTTGGAGGAAAACTTGCCTTTGTATGTTGCCCTTGATGTCAGGCCATAGTGGATCCCATTCTTCTATTTTGAAGCAAACAGGAAGTATAAAGCCAGTCTTCCTTGTCTCTCAAACAATGACATGTCATCTTCTTTCTGCAGCGGGTTCCTATGTAGCGCTGACTGTGCAGGGGCGCCCACCCGGGTCGCCCCAGATTCCACTGGCTGATTCTGAGGTGGACTCAGCTGCCTTTGGGCATATGTCTCCCATCATGACATCACCTCACTCCCCTGGATCCTATGGAAACACAGAGAGAATTACCAGTCCAGTGCTGATGGGGGTAAGGCATTCATTGATTTTGATTAGACTGCATGGCTGCTTGTAATTAAGATATCCATTCTGGAACTCATCACTCTGTTGGCTATTTTATGTATCACAGCAAAATCATTTATATGAAAGTGTGAGGAGAAGATGGAAGTAGGATAGCACTAGAGAGGGCATTTGCAATTGGTCTGATCTGCTGCGATAGATAGATAGATAGATAGATAGATAGATAGATAGATAGATAGATAGATAGATAGATAGACAGACAGACAGACAGACAGACAGACAGACAGATATAGATATAGATGTACACACACACATTGAATATATCTGTATTCATGTTCATGATTTTCTGTTGCGGTAGGAGAGAGAAGAACATTTGGGAATGAATTTAGTTGAATCTGATTAAAACTTAGTTAAGATTTATTGTTGTTATGCTTAATAAGGTTGTTAGACTTGTATGTTGTTGAAAATCTGCTCGAGTTCAGGTAGACTGTGTTTGTAAATGAGAACTGGCCATCTTTTCTTTTAAGGAGGAAAATAACATTGTTCACAACCAGAAAGTAGAGATTTTGAGGAAGATGCTGCAGAAAGAACAGGAACGTCTACAGGTACCCAAAAGGAAATTTATGAAAAATTAGGGGCGGGGGGCATTTAACCTGATGTAATATTCTGTGTTCTGGTTACAAAATAGAAAATGTTCTTGGTAAGAAACCAGAAAAGTTTGGGAGGTGGAATGACTTTGTGAAATTCCTTGTTCAAATTGGTAGAATGGCCGCTCCCTTTAAGCCAAGAGTGGGGAGTCTACGACCTAAATCACACAGTTGTAATCGCCCCCATTTAGAAACCCGTTTCCCATCCAGTCTTAGATTAAATCTGTCTTGAGTATTAGAGGGATAATTGATACATCTCAGCAGTACTCCCTGGGAGGCTGAGTTCTAATTTCATGGGTGGCCCAGCCATTGTACGAAAGCTAGTAGGACTTAGGACTTGCTTGGGCCAGGAGCTGGTGCAGTCTGGTCTTCAAAACCATGAACCATGATGACGATGATCCTTCTTATCCTCGAACCTTTTCAGTTCCTGCAGGAAGACTACAACCGTGCTCCGGCTCCCCGACTGCTCAAAGAGATCCAGGAAGCCAAGAAGCACATTCCTCAACTGCAGGAGCAGCTGTCCAAAGCAACAGGCTCTGCTCAGGTAATAGGAATCAGAAGGCTTTTATGGTCCAGATCTGGGCTGCCTTAGCTGGGAATGCCGGGTGAGAGCAAGTTGTTCCCATCCACGCCTTGCAGCAATTTTGCAGAAGCCCATTTAGTCTTCTGGGGATAGCAAATCAAAGGAGGCACAAATAAATGCCAGCACTGACTTCTCATTTAGCTCATAGAAACTGGTTTTGATATTATATGCAGAAATTAAAGCCTTGCGATAACAAATTACACACTTGTCACTTTGCTAAGAGAGTCTGGTTGTGCTGTGGTTGCAGACAGATGTATCTGGTTTTATCTTCTGGTGCATCCCTTAAATTATGAAGAAGCTGAGGGGTTATTATTTGTTTTGCTTGCTTGTTTACAAATAATTAAATTGTTCTCTAAGCAGGTGGCCCTGCCAAATATCTTACTCAGTCACTTGCAGCGGACTGTTTTTAAACATTTTATTAAGGTGTCTGCTGTTTCTTAACCTCCTTTTTGTCTGTTTTCAGGAGGTCGTTTTGTCTTCCAAATCTATACCCGAATCTTTGCAGATCACCGAGGTGGAAGCTGAGAGGAGGGATGGACCAAACAGAGGAGACTGTCATTTTGGGGATGCCCCCCAGGTGAATGACACAGCAGAGGTGAGGTCTTGACTGAGGAAAATAATAATAATGTTTTATTAGTGAGATATGGCAAAGCTCAGTGTCTCAGCGAAAAGGAGGGAGATTCTAGCACAGATAATCTCCCACTTAGCATCATAATTGGGACCATTGCTTAACAAGGCTGTTATTAAATGAGTCACTCCTAGTTTTACAACCTTCTTTGTGATGGTTATTAAGCAAATAACTGCAGTTAAGGGAATCATGCAGTCATGAAATGAATCTCGTCTTCCCCTTGGCTTGTCAGAAGCCAGCTGGGAAGATCCCAAATGGCAGTCACATGAACCTGGTCCATGGAATTCCCCAGCCAGCAAAGCTTTCTGGGAATTGAAGTCCGCCAGGTTTAAAGTTGCCAAGGTTTGAGACCCCTGGACTAGTCATTGTAAATACATGCTATTTGCAAGCATCCGGATTTTGATCACGTGACATGGGAATACTGTAACAGTTGTAAGTGCAAAGACAGTTGTAGTTGACTTTTTTTGTTGGAACGAGTGCTAAATGTATGGTTGGGGACTATCTGTATATGCAAAATGATTTTATGTTTATTTATTTTGTTATATTCTCTGCCCTGACAGTAAGAAGGTAGAAATGTTTACAGGTAGCAAAACAACTTCCTAATTGAGCTGGAATTTCCTGTTTGTCCTCATAACAGCAACCCTATATTTGGGACATTTTATTCTCCTCACTCTCCTCCTTCCTCTTCTCAGTTGTTACATTTAAACATTTCTTTGGCAACTGTGTATCTTCAGATGTAATTATTAGTAGTCAACAGAGTTCAAAGTAGTTCAGAAAAACCTGGATTTGTACTGTCTCTGTCAGAGAGTATTTTTGGATGCTGAAAATTGGGTTTTGCTTTGCCACCATTCATCCTTAATCAAGGGATTTTTGTAATGCACTGGTTAATATTTCTTGAAAACTTTTGAAAATTTGCTGACAGAAAATTGTAACCTCCTAAAAGGATCTGAACAAACTAGCATAGTTTCCTGTCTTTGGACATTCCTTCTGACTGGAGTGAGGCAAACATTTGACCTGGGTTCAGGGGACCAGTCAAAAGTGACCCGGTCCTGCAAATGTTGGAGATAAGTGACAAGACTGTGGAAGTGTGGCAGTCAAGACTGTGCACAAGTAAAATCATGTGTTCTATGAAGCTTTGAGGCACAAGAACTTATGACCTCTCCAAAATATGAACTGTGGAATGAACATGACATAAGCTCACATTGGTTAAATTCCTGCTCTTCGTGTGTGTGTTTCCTGCCATTACAATTGACTGGTTAACTTAATGTGGTCTTTCAGCTGGCCCCACCAATGAATTGCAGTGGTTCTGTTGTGGGGTAATAATTCTTGTGAACCAAAACTGTTTATTGCCGCTGTGAAGATTAAAATCGGGGTTGTGGTACTTACTAATAGCATCAAACTGGATAACATTCATCTGGTAGAGTCTGACTGGAGATCTTGAATCACTGTGGCAAAAGAAAATACGAAGTCAGGTGTTTTGTGAGCTGGTTTTGGAAATTTGTTATTTTTATTCCCTTAAAGTATCATTGAGCCTTATGGAGTCTGATTTGAGATTGTGTTTCAAAGGGAACTGGAATATTATTAGAATATTCTTTTTTTAATGCCTCATACAGAATTAAAAGCAATCAGAGAAGACATTGAAATTAGAATTATCAACATTGGGATGTATACAGTGGAACATGCAAAGGCAAGGTTAAATGAAAGCGTCTAACAATATACATCCCAAATCTGTTTTTTTTTAATTAGTCTCCTACATCCTGTTTAAATTGTAGCTGCTGGGCTTGATATGATCTTTTATTGAGTCCTGCTTTTTAACATAGTAAACACTGAGTGGAGTGTTTTTTTCACTTCTTCTCCTCAGAGTCCTCGCAGTGTCTTGAAAGAGCAGAGCTATCTGGATGACAGCCCAGAGAAGACTGAGACTCATGAAACAGTAAGAGTACCGTGAATATTCTGGTAGAAATTCCTGCACTAGCCATGGACAGGCTTTGTGTTCTTTCTTGCCCTTTCCCGTCTTGAGATGCCACTGGATTTTTGACCTTGTAGATCTATGCTCAACTTTTAATTAGGCTTTTATAAATTTAGACTGCAAAAATCCACATTGTTATTTGTTCTTGATTGGATACTTCCATCTTTTAAGATTTTGAGTTGGCAGTGCAACTTTTCCATTACAATTTATGGCTCCTGAACATTTGCTTATCTGCAGGCATTTTCAGGTCCTGTTTCCAGCACTTCTGTCCCTGGTGGCAAAGCTGGGGGAGATGTCTGCCTCTTACCCTACAGAGGGTCTCCCAATCTGTTAATATTAAGTGTATGTGAGAGATAGAATAATGTCCTTAGTCCGTATATACACTTGACAAGCAACTATTCCATTATATCTGTGATCTGAGTTCCTAACTTGGTAGGCAGGCATTTTTATAACAATGCATAAAGTTTGCAGGCTCCAATCCCGGGGTGTCCAACCTTGGCAGCAGAGCTGGCTGGGGAATTCTGGGAGTTGAAGTCCACAAGTCTTAAAGTTGCCAAGAATGGACACCCCTCCTCTAGTCTATTTTCTTTGGAGTGCCCTTGACTTGAAGAGGTGAAGGCAGTAGCCATGCTTGACTAGTTCTGCCTTGACATTAAGGAAGTGAATGTATATCTTTCCTCTGAGGAAAGAGAACCAGCAATCCTGGAGACTTCAAAGACATGCAGATATTGATCTCACAATATTATGTCAAGAAGCATCGGTTGTAATAGAAACATGCCATGTAATTCTGTATTGAAAACATTCGTGGAACAGGCTTTTAAGCTCAAGTTTTCACCTTCTAAAAGTCCATCATGTCTGGCCAAAATCAAGTGGCAGAACACCAGTTTTTCTTAAGCAAAGAAAATTAGTTTTTCCCGTGGTTCTGTGTTTTGTTGGGGAGGGTTTATTACTGGACTGGCATGGCGGTGTTCCACATACCAGTTTTTAATTTACTTAGCAGATGTGTATCCTGTTTTCCAAAGTCCTCAAAATCAGATGACAATGTTTATAAGCTTATAACAGATTCAGCAAGAATCACACACTGCAAACACAACAAAGCAGCCAGATCCATTAAAATGGGACCTGACATCTGACTTTTTTTTCTTCCTTACAGGGCAGTTTGGGTTAATAGCTCCCTGGTAGGGAGGGAGCAATCCAGCTGGAAAGGATGTAGGCCCCCAATGTTTTCTTTGCCTCCTCCCTCCCTCAAATTCCACTGCCTTTTTTTCCCTTTCTTTCTGGACAGTCTACACTCCTCCATATAACAGTACTTCAGTGAAAGTACCAGCTTCTGTAGTGGCTCAAATATTTGGTTTAAGGGCAGGCTGTGCAGCTGTTTAACAAAAGCTATCTTTTCTTTCGGTAGCTGATTGCATCATTTGGTTTAATGAACAATAGCGGTTATGATAGAAGTCTTCATTTTTATTTGATTGGATTATTTTATATAGGTGCTCACAATATGTACAGTGCACTGAAACCAAGAAGTATAATGCATCTCCACAAATGCTTTCTTTAACAAAAAATCTCTTCTTCTAGTGTCAGGAAAATGCCTTTCTAATATTCTCACACACTGAAATAGAAACTACAATGGTTTCTTTTCTCTGACAATGCCAGGATTCTCCATCCAGCCTTGGAAGCCCTTCCTCTCGTGTGGCACCTCCAATCATAGGAGCAGAAGATGATGACTTTGATGGTGAACAAGAACAGGTAGCCTGCCAACCATAACAGCAAAGTTGTCATGTGATTACTTTCTTCAGCTTAATTTATCTGACCTTACTACCAACATTTATCAATATAAAGTTCCTTACCATAGTTTAGTACCTAGACTGTCTTATCTGGTTTGAATTTTGGCAGCCGCATGTAAGAACTCCTTTCTCATTACATGTGCTTTTAATTCTCTGGAGATTCATAAGGGAGTCTGAGAGAAAGAGGTTTGTAGTTTAAAAATATTAAAGATACACATTAGGATGAAATAACAGGATAGAGGCTTTATGGTTTATGGTGGAAAAAAAAGTGCTCATTCTGAAAAGGTCCATGCTATTTCTACAGATCAACGGGCAGTGTAGCTGTTTCCAGAATATAGAGCTACTGAAATCACGTCCTGCTCACCTGGCTGTCTTTTTGCATCACGTCATCTCCCAGTTTGACCCTGCTTCTTTGGTGAGATGCTGGTTTACAACTCATTCCTGTGTTATGGATCAGTTGGGTTCTGAATTCCCATTCAGCCTACATGTACCTTTCCCCATTTGTCACCTCCCAGTTGTGTTGAACCAATTCCAATTACACCTCGGCCCCTCCAGTCTGTCAGGCAATTCAACAGTTGTGGAGGATATCATTTTCAGGAAGGCTGATATCGATTTGAGTGGGGGACAACTCTGTTTTTTCCGATACTGTAAATGTTGTGCAAAGCTTGGTCACAAAAGTGAATGCCCAAGGGGGAAAATGTCGTTTTCTAATCCTTCAAGAAGAGTTAATCCCTATGCAAACTCTTAAAAACCCAAAAGAAGCATTTGTAGGTAGGATTACGTTTCCACTTAATTATTACCATTTACTGTACTCTCGTTTTCTGTTCATGCAGCTCTGTTACCTGTTTGCAGACCTGTACAAACAAACAAATTCCAAAGAGACTCGCCGAGTGTTTGCTGAATTTAATCAATTTTTTCTGGATCGAGCTGCAGTAAGTTCTAAACACATACAGAAAAGCTACAGAACACACATTCTTGTTTTAATTTTCTGTTCCATGTTTTGATGGGCTTGGAGCCTTTGAAATTAGATCATCCACAGTACTTTGTAACTCACTGGGGTTTTTTTTGGACCAAATCATTCATGTTTTAAAGGTAGATTACATTTTGTTTTTATATCCAGGGAAATGGATACAGGTAATCCTTGACTTTAATTAAATTCATTTAATGACCGTTTGAAGTTACCATGGCACCGAAAAAAGTGACTTATGACCTGTTCTCACACTTATGACCATTGCAGCATCCTCATGGTCACATGATAAAAAAAAACCCTGGATGTTTAGCAATTGGCATGTAGTTATGAGAGTTGCACTGTCCTGGGGTCATGTGATTACCATTTGTAACCGTCCCAGCTGGCTTCTAGGAGGCGAAGTCAGTGGAGGAAGCCGGATTCGCTTAATGACCACATGATTCACTAAACAACCCCAGTGATCCCCAGCTTAGCAACTGTGACAAAAAAGGTCATTAAATGGGACAACTCACTTAAGAACTGCCTTGCCTGGCAACAGAAATTTTTCAATTGTGGATGTAAGTCAAGGACTACCAGTATGGGAAAAGGTTCAATGTGTGTTACTATGTATGTACATGAATCTTAGAATCATGTACACTCAGTGAAAATCAGGAGGTAGAAGAATATTCTCAGAATTAGTCAAAGGAAGAAATTTCTTTACATTTTTATCTTTCATTTTTGCAGAACCTGAAAGTTCCAGTTCCAGATGAAATTGCAAGTGATTTAGGTAAGATTATTGGAAAATAATCTAGATAAGATTATTTTAGAACTTGGACATGTAATGTTTTTTGAGAAATTCCAGTGAATTTTGTATCCATGTAGCGTTTTCCCCCCCAATTACTTGTATTAGGATTATTCTCTATACTATTCATGTAGTCTTGTATTTCTGTTATTGATTGCACCAGTAGAGGCTAAACTATTTTATTGTATACATGATGTACAATGACAATAAAGGCTATTATGATTATTATTTTTGATATCAACAGGTGTAACTTGGGAGGCAGGAAAAATTGTATTTGAGTAACTTCAGCCCTCAGTGGGGGAGATAAAGATTTCAATCACAACGGCAAAATTATTGGTTCTAAATAAAATGGATTTCCCCCTTTATCTGCAGAAAAGAGAAGGCTGGAATTAATTCCTGAAGAATTGCACCGCCACTGTATTCAAGCTATGCAAGAAAAAGTGTTTCTTGAAGTACAAAAGCACCTTGAAGATTTTAGGTACATGTTGTTTATTGGTTGAATTTTGTGCAAACTTTGAAGTTTAGTTTTTGTTTATTTGTAGTGCTTTAGGTAATACTTCCTGCAAAGTATCCATCTTCATTATGAGGATTTGGGTTTTTTGGAAATTAATCTAAGTCAGTACATGCTGCAGTCTTAAGTGTGGTCAGGCTTTCAAGTACCCACATTCAGATTATGTGATCATAGGGGCTGGCTGTTCCTTTGAGGATAGGTCATAACTACTGAACTACTTTTCAACGCCACCATACCTTCAGTCACCAAACGAATAGTTGTTAAGTGAGGACTGCCTGTCTTCTTTGCATAAGATAATGCATAATGCAGGGGGTCCCCAAACTTGGCAACTTTAGGACTTGTGGACTTCAACTCCCAGTCTTAAAAGTTGCCAAGTTTGGAGACCTCTGGCATTATGTATTCTGTTTAACTGAGTGGATTCACTGAAATACCCAAGGTGTGTTTAAGAAAAGCCTGCTGCATTGGTGCTTAGTCCTGAAGATGAGCCTCCGTTGCTTCCTTTCTTGTGCCCACAACAGTTTCTCGCTCTTTATTCGGTGCCTTTAGACAGAAACGCAGCATGGGACTCACACTGGCAGAAGGAGAACTGACCCGGCTGGATGCCGAACGTGTTCGGGACCGGATGACCTTAGAGAAGGAGAGAGCGTGCGCAGAGCAAATCCTGACTAAAATTGAAGACGTGCTGTAAGTACGCCTGAGGCAGACGCAACCTTTTAGCTGTCCTCTGCAGAGGAGGGAACTTGGGGAGGAAGGAAATGGCAGCATCTTTCTGCAGAGATGAATTTTATAGGCAGGTGCTGCGCTCAGATCATTGTGTTCTGTTTTAGCTGTTAGACCAGCTCTTAAAAACGGAGCTGGGGCCCAGCAATATTTAATTATTTCTGTTGATGAATTGTCGCAAAGCAGAGCCTATGTTTTGCAGAGGAAAAGAGGGCTTGACAAACCATAAGATTGTAGGTATGCCTGTTAATTACAACTAACTCTGGTAGTTGCATTCAAGTGGAAGATATACCTTAGATTATCCAATCTTGGTTCCTATTTGTCACGATCTGAGACTTCTTGCTGACAACTTTCAACAACAGAATGTAGAATTTTTGCACTCTGCATCTGATGCTTATTCCATTTATCGTTTAGCCATCTGGCCATATAGTAGTATAGTAGTATAACAATTTGGGTTGAAGGACAAGCCAATCTTTGCCAGTCTTAAATGAAAGTGAATATCGAACATTGAAACTGTCATTTTTAAAATTAATTTTTGCCTCTTTCCTCTGCAGGGTGTCCTCTCAGCCTATAGAAGAGGATAAGAGGTAATTAAACCCTGGTTACAATCATATGCTAAATCTTTCCATTCTGGTTTATATGTGCTGAACTGGTGGAGTCCTCCGTTGGCTGTTTAAGCAAATTACAGTTATTTTCTGTACATTCTTCTCTCTTACCCTCCTTTACATCAATACAGTGCAATCCAACAGGACCTTGGTCTATACAATAATAGGCAAGGGATCTTTCACACCTGTTTTATCCCACATCCTACTTTAAGAGAAATGGCAGTGACAGAATTTAAAACTACATGCCTCCCTATAGTTTGGGTTTATGAATATTATAATTGCTAGTATTCAATGAAGTTTCAGTTCAATACTTTTCGGATTGCATAATTTTTCTTCCAATTATTATTATTAATTCCCACTTAAATCAACAATTTCTGGATAATAATGGTGTTGATTATTTTACTAATAAGATAATAGAAATAGTCACGTCTAGGTAGCTCCTCACATCTTCTTATGGGTCATAACAATATAAATTGCTGTCAGTGCCTGAAAAATATATTGGAAAAGAGAGAAGCTCATTTGCCATTCCATCATTGAAGTAATCCCATTCTTCTGTTTTGTCTCTTCTACAGTTCATCTATACAGTATGTTGTTCTCACCTACATGAAGCACCTTGGTGTAAGAGTCAAAGAACCCCGGAACCTAGATCAGAAACGGGGACGGATTGGATTCCTGCCAAAGATAAAGGTAAAGTGGGTGGACTGTCAAATTGATACATTACCATTTTAATAACATTATGTTAACAAAGCACAGCTGAAGTTAAGTAGTGCTTCATGTCTCTGCCACTTTGAACCTATTGCAAAAGCAGTTGAAGAAAAAAAATATCTAGTAGAAAATAGAGTCTCTGAATCTGATATTGGAGGTAAATTAGAGGATATCATATGCACAGTTATTTTAATTAGCCACACCAGTAGAGAACCAGAATTAAGCATCATGTACATCTTTATTGCATGGAGATGTATTAGCCCTTGTACCAGAAACTGAATTCCTTAGAAGACGTTGTAAAAGAGTGAAAATTGTCAGTTTTGAAACTTAATTTAAGGACATCAGTACAACATTGTAGAACAGCTCCCTTTTGAAAGGGCCTGCTAAGGGAATTCCAGTGAATTGTTCCCTTTCATGGAACTCTGCAGTTTTTTGCTTTGAGCACTAAATGTCCTAAGAGACCATGCACCTACTTGTGCTGGTCTCTTGTTAGTCTTTACACAGCAGTTTGTTGCCATCTGGAAGGTGCAAGATCATTGGGTGAATCTGAATTACAGAATAACTAAAACTTTCCTTTTAAATCAGGCATGTCCAACCCATGGCCAAAAGGATATAGGCAGCTTGGACAGCTAGCAATGTGGCCCTACAGGATTGTAACCTTTCAACATTATTATTAGATTTTAGCGATAATAATACACATTAATTATATATTTTTATATATGTCCCAAGACAATTCCTCTTCACTCAGTGTGGCCCAGGCAAGCCAAAAGGTTGGACACCCATGTTTTAAATGGTTGCATTAGAAGACACTTTTAACAAGAATTATTTCTTCAATTCCTTTTTAACCGCAGCAAAGTATGAAGAAAGATAAGGAAGGGGATGAAAAGAAGAGGAGAGTCTTCTCAAATATCCTGGGACCTCCAAGGAGGCCGAGCCGCCATGACAGCTATGCAAGTATGTCAACTGAAGATATATAGATATAGATATAGATATAGTTTTTCTACTTAATTTGATCATAGTGTCCTGAAGCTAAGCTAGTTGCTAGACTATGGTGTGTGTGTGTGTGTGTGTGTGTGTGTATTTTTCAGGTTTCAGGGGAGAGTAAATTTTATGCATTGCTGATTACTCCTTATTCACCCAGTAGGCAGAGCCATGGAGATACAAAAACAACGCCATCCAAAGCACTTATCCTCATCGTCTTCGGTCAGTCCGGAACCACCAGATTTGGTCAAGATGCGCCAAAGTGGGATCAGTGAAGGCATGGATTCAGCCTTCCAGCCTGCTAACTTTGTATCTCCAGCAGCTTCTGGAATGTTTCTATCTCAGGAAGGCAGCAAAGATGGTGAAACAGGTAAATTGACATCATTGTCAAAAACTGCATTACAGTCTCTTTTTATTTTCCAGTTGCAAGAGGAAAACATTCCATTGTCATGCAGGTCACTTTCATTTTTATAGGTTTTTGATGTTGAAAGGCCACTTAACCTCATTCGGGAGATGATGTGGTTCTAGGAAAAATAGGTGGAGAAATAGTGGAAAACAGAAAGCAGGTGGCTTTAGAGGTTTAATATTATTTGTTAATTTGCCTTATTATTTGTTGTGTGCTTATGTTTAGGGCCAAAACAAGTTGGAGAAACAATGAATTCTGGTGATTCTGTGGATGGCACACCTTGTACACCTAGCATCATATTTGATTTTCCATCTCCTCCCCTGGACCATTTGCAAGAAGAAGAAGGAGAAGTTGATAGGCAAGTCTTAGCCTCAAACTTAAGCACTCACTTTTGTAATTTAGAGATAAGAGAATTAAGTATGGCATGGCTTTTTAAGATGACAGAGATGACAGCCTAGATCAAGGGTCTTCAAACTTCGCAAGTTTAAGACTTGTGGACTTCAACTCCCAGAATTCCTGAGCTAACATGACTGAAGGAGGAATTCTGGGAGTTGAAGTCTTAAAGCTGTCAAGTTTGAAGACCCCTGGCCTAGATGTTCAATTCAATTGTTTTTAGTCTTTTATAACTGTGCTCCTCATTGGTATGAAAGTCATCTTGAACTACTATTGAACTCTGCTGTCTAAAGTGATCAATTTTAATAAAATCTCTTTATCAAGTAATGTTTTCATAAAAGTTTGGTTTCCTTTCTAGGTTAGGAGAATCAGGGACTCCAAAACCTTTCCGCAAGTGAGTACAAGTATACGTGTGTTTAAGATAGATTTGGCAATAGTTTCTTACATTAGTCTGACTATAGCGGAAGAAAGAAAAGTCCCATAAACTATCAGCATCTTTATTGTCTTTGGATAGGCACCACCATAAATCCAAATACAGTCATAGAAAGTTTTCCTGTGAAACCTAGATACGGTGTAGAGCAAGTGGATCATCATACAAATTCAGTTCGCTGTTATGTTGTCTTTCCCCTTTTTTTGCTGAGCTACAACCTTGTGGTTCTCTCCACCTAAAACATAAAAAGAAAATACTGAGGATACAATGCAAATCTTGATTAGACATCATTTCTAACCCCAAGGCAAATTTTAGTCTTCCCACAAAGTGCCTTGCTAAATTTAAAGAAGCCTCTTTCCTTTCCCTCTTCCTAGGGTGGACAGTGTGAGTGCAGGGGATGTCCAGAGTGAAGATGAGCTCTTCGATTTTGACATGGAGACCGACCAGCCCAACTGGCAGCAGCTGGTGAGCCGTGAAGTGTTGCTTGGCTTGAAACCATCTGAAATTAAACGCCAGGAAGTGATTAATGGTGAGTTTATGGAGGAGGGGGGAGAGAACCAGAGGAATTCCTTGCTTGGTTGTTTCTTTGTTTTCTGTATCCAAGGTGCTATGTCCACCCTCAAAATTGCAACGTTGGCTTTCAGTCACATTGTCCGGAGGAAGATTCCTAGGAGGATGAGAGGGAGGTTGGCCTGCCATAGTTCTGAAGGCAGTGCCAATTGTGTTATACTTGGGGCAGTAAAGGACAGCTAGAGTGCGTAATTTAGGTTCTCCTTTATCTCAAAGGATAAATCGTTCTATTGTTCAGCAATTGTTACCTTCAGGGAATACCTCCTAATATTATTCTGAAGATGTTCTTCATCTGCACATTCTTCATCTAATCCCCCCCCCTCTCTCTTTCCCTTACGAAGACCATCACAATCACTCTTACTTGTTGTCCTTCTTTCCAGAATTATTCTACACTGAACGTGCACATGTCCGTAAGCTGAAAGTCCTGGACCACTTGTTCTACCAGCGTGTGTCCCGCGAAGGGATTCTGACAGCTCCCGACCTGCGGAAAATATTTTCGAACCTGGAGGATATCCTCCAGCTTCATAGTGAGTGAGACTACCTGACTGCTGGGTTAATAAAGCAGTTACTGAGTGACTAACCACTTGAAGGTGCGACATCTAAGGCAGGAGGGGCTGCCTGGGGTTTTAGGGCCTCAGATTGTGCTGCATAGCTGCTTGTATGTGTGAGAAACAGTTTTATTAGGCCACTAGAATAGAATGATACTTGAAAATGTGCTTAACTGCAAGCTTCTTATCCTGTCTCAGACTTTAAATTAATTCACTCTTGTGAGTCAATCGCTTGTAAAAGCTATTGCACAAAAAAGGGTGTGTATTAAATAGAGGTGGAAGATGATGACCAGGAGGAGGAGGATTTTATGGGGCTGGTTATTTTTGAATTCTCATAAATCTTTTCCAAGAAAATAACTCCAGTGAAGATTGCTCCCTTCTACCACAATGAACAACAGAACAACTTAATACATATTATGTTGTATTATATTATATTATACTATACAGAGAGTTATCTTGGTCTAATTGTTAAAATACCAGGCTAGAAACCAGGAGACTGAGTTTTATCCTGCCTTAGGCATGAAAGCTAGCTGGGTGTCTTCGGGTCAGTCATTTTTTGAACTCACAATGTCAGGTTTGACTACCAAGCTAATCTGTCCCAGCCAATGGATCAACCAAATGTTGTTTTGAAAACAAAGGGGACCCTGCATTGCAGAAAAATGCAGGAGGGGGTGGAACATGTGCGGCTGGTTGTTACAACCACGTAGAAGTTGATCCTGAAATAACCATGGGGTGGTTAAGTATCAGTGGTTTCAGGCAATTGCTTTGGTTTTTCCAAATCTCTCTCCTTCTTTCTTTTTCTTTGCTACTTAGCTGGACTGAATGAGCAGATGAAAGCAGTGAGGAAAAGAAACGAGACATCTGTAATTGATCAAATTGGAGAAGATTTGTTAACTTGGGTAAACTAAATGTTTGTGTGTGTACATATGAGAAAAAACACAACTTTGGGGTTTTTTTTTTCCCTGAGAATTGAAATGTTTAAGAAATAAAAGATCAGCTGAGCTACAACAGTTTATCTTCTCTAGAAATCTATTATCTGAAACTTCCATTCTAGGAGAATTAAATAAAAAGGGGCAGTATTAAAATAAGGTTTGGCAACACGGGCCACGTATTTGCTTTCGCTAAGAAATATCTAGCCGAGTGGCTTTCTTATATAATGAACATGTGAATAAGATAATTTAGCTTAAAGGTCACCATTCCTCATAAAGAAAAAAGAGGGCTTCTTATCCTCTAAAAGTTGTTTCACAAAGTCAAGAGAGTGCAAAACTTGGAAGTGACAGGAAGACAAAGTTATTAAACATCTTGGACATTTTCAGGCTGTAAGTTCTCACATTAGGTTTTTGGAGTCAAGTAAGAACATTAAAATACAAAAGTGCAGCAAATGTTAATATATTCATCAAGGCATTAAAGACTTAATCAGGATTCCCTAAAAATGAGGCATGCTGGTATTTAGTAGCAATAGGTTTTATGATAATTATTTAATCTTGGGAGTTGTTCGTTAAAGCTGGTAATAGGAACCCCTATTTTCCAAAGTCTGTGTACAATGATAGAAAGAAAGAGGAAAATGGGTCTTCCCATGAACTGGCTAACACAGAAACATGTTTTGTTCCCAAGCATCCATTTGCTGTGTAAGTAATTGTTCATGCTAGCACTACACCTGCAGTTCATTATTATTATTATTTTTATATTTTGTACCTGTGGATTCTCATCCCAGTTCAGTGGAGCAGGCGAAGAGAAATTGAAGCAAGCCACGGCTACCTTCTGTAGCAACCAGCCTTTTGCTCTTGAGGTGATCAAGTCAAGGCAAAAGAAGGATTCTCGCTTCCAGATTTTCGTCCAGGTAAATATTTGGGGGGTTGGCATCTAGCTGATCCTTGCTTGAGGGCTGCTGGAGATCAGAGGTGAGGACAAAGCATTCCTTCCATCCCATCCATCCATTCATCCAACTTATATGCTGCCTTTCTCAACTTGAAGCAGCCCTAGATGGCTTTTAATAGTTAAAATTATACTTTTTTATACAGGTAATCCTTGACTTACAGCAGTTCACTTAGTGACTGTTCAAAGTTAAAATGGCTCTGGAAAAAAAGCGAGTTATGACCATTTTTCACCTTTACGACTGTGGCAGCATCCCCATCATCATGTGATCAAAATTCAGACACTTGGCAACTGACTCATATTAACGACGTTCGCCATGTCCCTGGATCATGTAACCCCTTTTTTCGACCTTCTGACAAGCCGTGTCAGCTGGGGAAACCAGATTGACCTAGCAACTGTATTACTAATTTAAGAACAGCGGTGATTCACTTACCAAATGTGTCCCCTCCTCCCCCCCCCCCCCACAAAAAAGTTCTAAAATGGTGCAAAACTCACTTAACAAATAAATGTCTTGTTTAGCCACAAAAAAATTTGGGCTCAATTTTGGTCGTAAGCCGAGGACTGCCTGTAATTTACAAATTAGAACTATACTTAATCTGTTCTGTGCATGAGCTTTTTTTTTCTTTTTTTGCTATGAAATCTTTGATAGACTAATCCAGCAAAGGTGGCATTTGCTCCCTTTCAGTCTAAGAGCTACCAAATAGTCCTCCCCCCATTTTAACTCAGCTCTGTGATGAGCTGGTAGCTCATTCAAATTCCTGTTAGCTTCATGAGCTTTTGGGGAGTCAGTTTATAGGCTGGAAGACAATCTCCCACATCAAAGCCTCTGCAGGAAGTGGAGCTCTCCATTGTCAAAGTTGAGCTCTTTAAAAAAAAAAAACACCTTTCTGAGGCTGTGTCATGGTTTTTAAAAAAACGGAAGGAGAAATAAATAAATGCCAAGTATCTCGCTTGATTTATGAAAGATCTTCGCTAATTTTCTCAGCTCGCTGGTTGGGATTCTAAAATATTATATACTCTTTACATGGTGCAGAAAACTAAGCTACTGTCTCCTGTAAGCCTGCGACTGAGATTGATTGCTGGTCATATTAAGTCTGAAATAATGAGTAGCGGAATCTGTTTTCAGGTTTCACGCTGAACCTTTCCTCTAATTGCCTACTAAAATAGGATTGTTTTCATTTCTGCTCAGTCTTGGTGTTCCTTAACCTGTATTTTCTAGCCTGTAATGCGAACCACTAAAACGTTTATAGGGCTGTATCAATTCAGGTAATTATGGTCTTAATAAAAATTACACATACACTTCCACTTTTTCCATTTAGGAAGCTGAGAGCAATCCGCTGTGTCGCCGATTACAGCTAAAAGATATTATTCCCACTGAGATGCAACGGCTCACCAAGTATCCCCTCTTGCTGGATAATATTGCAAAGTACTCAGGTACCACGTAGCCCATTTTTTTTGTGGCTTCATTGGGAAGTGGCAATTACAGAGAACAACTTAGGTTCAAAATAAAACCCAAATTAACAAATTCTGTTCAAAAATAATTTGCCCCCATTTCAGTACCGCTTCATCTTTCTGAAATCCCCTTATTTTCCTCCAGATGAAGGATGAGTTGTGATTAAAAAAAATAGATTGTTAATGATGAGATAAAGTATTCTGTGTATTTATTTTTGCTGTTGCCATTCCTTCCTTTTTGCATTCTTATTACCTGTAACATTAATGCATGAATTTCAGAAAGCATTGATACAAAGTTCTGCTTCATAATTTGCTTTTTAAAAGAAGCTTGGAAATGTGGGGCGTTTACATTTTGTCTTAGCTGTTTTGTCTTAACAGACAAAAGAGTGCATTTTGTCTTGAGAATGAATGTGTGTGTGTGTGCGTGTGTGCGGTTATGTGTTTCATTATTATTGTTTCACTTTTCACCCGTTTCATACTTTAGAGCAACCTTTAGAGAAGGAAAAAGTGAAGAAAGCAGCAGATCATTGTCGCCAGATTCTCAATTTTGTGAACCAAGCTGTCAAAGAAGCCGAGAACAAGCAGGTAAGAAGAGGCAAATGCAACTCGGTTTTTCAAAAGCTGAAGGGACTATTGGCTGCGTGGTGGGTTTATGGGTTTATCAGTGAGAAGGTATCTCTGTCTATCCTTTGTTTTAAAGGGATCCCAGAATGACTTAATTGTTGCTTGCCTTCAGCTGACCTGAGCTTGTCTTTTCTCAACAGCGTTTGGAGGACTACCAGCGGCGGCTTGATTTGTCCTACCTGAAGCAGGTGGAGGGCCCTCTGCTGGATGAATTCAGGGTGAGTGGAAGAAAGAGCAGAGGGATCCTGAAATCTGATAAGCATTCACAAATGTACTTTGTAGTTCTTTCTGCTTCTCTTTCTACCCAATTTTATTGCCTCCGGTATTTGGACTTTGAGATACCGCAAAGCAAAACGAATGGAAAATTTTACATAACTCACCACATTTGGGGCCAGTTTTGCTCAGGACACAGATGGACCTGGATTTATCAACAAGCTGGATCAGGCTATATAAAATGAGAATTATTGCCTAGAAAGGGAGGCTTGAAAGGGAATTATGAGGTCGCTTCCTGTCCCTTTTCTCAGGTTAGAATTCTTTAGTGCAAAATGACCTACCTATGATAATTAGGAAGTGAGATAATCAAAATCACTCTGCCTTTTTCTGTGAACAAATAAGATGACTAGATATTAAAAGATATCTAATATTGGTTCCTCAAATTTGCAATATCCTTCTGATAAATTGAATTGTACAAGTCGTGACCAGAAAAGTAGTTCCATACTAAAACACCTATCAGGAAGTAAAATACAATAAATGCAACAAAACACCAAGGATCTGCCAATCAAAATGGATAAATATGTATAAATACATTTTGCTCTTTTTTGGTAGAATTTAGATCTAACGAAGAAAAAAATGATTCATGAAGGGCCTCTGACTTGGAAGGTGAATCGTGACAAAATGATTGGTACGTTGTTACCTGTTATTTTCCTTGAGACTGATAGGACATGGGGGAAATTGCTTGAAGATGTTATGTCATTTCCTTAGAGCTAATTAAGCAATGAGTATTTTGAGATGGGTTGGAAGATAACGAAGACAGCAGTGGTTTTCAAGCTGGTACAGATGGGTCTAAAATGTGTGCCTGGCTGAGAAATTTTATGGCTTATTATTGCTTCTGCTTGGGATGCAGCCTTCGATAACTACAAAGTAGAAATAATAGCCCATTTCTGTTTTTCTCTTACCACTGCAGATCTCTATACGTTGCTCTTGGAAGATATTCTGGTATTGTTGCAGAAGCAAGATGACAGACTGGTGTTGAGATGTCACAGCAAGATCCTGGCTAATACAGCTGATAGCAAGCACACATTTAGCCCTGTTATTAAACTGAACACCGTTTTGGTTCGCCAAGTGGCTACAGGTTAGTAGGACTGAGAATGTATATTGCAGATCTAACACTGTTTTGAAAACGAAAATGGTGCTGTCTAATCCAGTCATTGCCCTTGGGTATAAGGATGGGATTCAGGGAAGAATAGCAGGTTGAAAATCTTTGCTCATTAAGAAGAACCTTGATGCTCCTCTCAAGCATCTAGCTGACCCTCGCTTTCTGACAGAATGCTCTCTGAGCAGTTGAGTCAAAACTGGAACTTTTCAGGCTGTATGGATGTCATTATATCTGGTCGATCCAGAGAAGTGTATTCTCCAGTAACAGCCTCGTATCAGTTGGTAGAGGTAAAGGAATGGATTGCTGTTTTCATATCCTGGATGCCTAGTGATCCTTCAGAGGAGCATATCAGGCCAAGTGTCTATTATCAATAAAGGAGAATATTTGTAAATCAGAGTTGAAATGAGGATCCTTGGTATTATCTCTGAGTTTGGCTGTTTTCTTGTAGACATTTCATTGCCCAAACTAGGTAACATCATTAGAGCACCGATTATGTTATCTGGTTTGGGATAATGAAACCCAAGGACACCCCCCGCCCCCATATCTGTTAATTAAAGTTGAAACACAAATCGGTAACACAACAAGACAATGGTTCAGCCCGTACACAGGGGGTTGCAAACAGGGCTATAGTAAAATCCATGTAGTTTGGTTACCATCTTGTTGGTTATCTGTATCTCCAGTCTGCTGCACTTGAGATTCTTCTGGGGAAAGGCCACAGGAGGGTAATCTTGTGGCATTCTGCTACCTGGTATATTTATACTTAATAGAAGTAGCCCTGTTAGAATCCAATTAAATAAAAGTGCTTTCCAGAATTGACTGCTCTTAAAAACGTGGCTTTTAGTCTCTAACCTTCATTTAAGTATATATATTCCTAATTGCTCTCCTTTGTAAGGGCCCAGTTTGGGAAAAAAGCCTAATTAGGTTCCATACAGAAGTTGTGTAATTGATTTTCCAGCAAATAGCATAATAGATGCTGTAATTAAACCTCTGACCTGTGAGAGGTAAAGTGTGAGAATTGCTGCTGCATTCCTTTGGGCTAAGATTAAAGCAATGGCTAATTTCAGCTATTTGGTTTCTAGAGGATTAAAAAATAATCAGTCTTAGATATTTAAAGCACTTAATTTATATTATTATAAGCTCTGATATTGATTAGTGACAAAAATGGAAGGACTAACTTTTTCATAGAACTTTATACAAATAGAAGTGAACTGTATAGCACTTCCTATTCACCTGTTCGACAATCCTTAATGCAAAATTGCCCACATCAGTCATGACGCCTGTGCTAGTGTTTATTCGACCAAGGATCGATATAGGAACTACAGGGTTAAGAGTCACACTTGAGCAGAGAACTATAGGCCCATTCTAAACTCATGTAGTTGCTGCAACAGTTACTGTCTTCTTCTCAACCGTATCTGATATACAAAGCTGAATTGTAGTAAATCAAAAGATATAGAGGTTCTATCAGCTTTAACTTGTTCCTTGTTTCTCCAGATAATAAAGCATTCTTTGTCATTTCCATGTCGGAAAATGGAGCCCAGATTTATGAACTGGTGGCACAGACAGTTTCTGAAAAGACGGTGTAAGTCGGCTTGGGAAAATGCAGACTATTTTATCACTTGTTAAAGAGGAAAATAAATCTTGTGATCCAAATCTGTGAAGGAGCCTCCTTCTAGAAGTTGTAGATGTTTTTTTAATAGAACTATTTGAGGATTCTTCCTCCCACTATGTCATCTTTCTCTCCTGCCAATAAAAATGGGGCATGGAGGAGATTTAACCAAGAAACAAAGTTGAGGTCCATGTAGTATTCCACATTTAAAGTCAACTTGGATTAATAACGTATTAATCAACAGTAGGGCTTCTCAAAACATGTCATAGAAAATATTTGTAGTCTTTATTAAGTTACAAACAGGCTCATCTGTCATCAAGGACACTGTTCTGCAAAAGCTGTAAATCTCAGTTAATTCAAGAAAAGCACCCGGAGTATGAAAATTGGGAATATGACCCTATTCCGTTTCAAGCAGAAAAGGTACTTCAAAGCAACCTAAGCCCCCTCATTGCACAAAGGCCGCACATACGTAGAAAAAGATACAATACCTTAAATGGAGTGCTGACGGGAGTAGAGCTCGTGTCCATCTGCAGGAGGTAGAAGATGATTTATTTTGGACAAATTTCTTTATATCTGCGTTATTATAGATGGCAAGACCTCATAGTACAGATGGCAGGAAACGTCAAAGTTGGAAGAGGCAGAAATGTAATTCCATTGCCACAATCAGGACCATGCGAGTAAGTTGAAAAAAACAACAACATATGTATGAACAAAAAGAAATATTGATGGGTGTTTAATTCCACAGGTAGCCTGCAACTAAGCAGGATCTGCATTTTAAAAAGACGCAGCTTATGAGTGAGGATTTCACAGTGGTCGATTTATTTTCCTTCTTTGGCTTGCAGGGAAGACCACGAGGAAGAAGATGACCAGCCTAAATTGAAGGAAGAACAGACTAGCCCAGATAGCAGCAAGCAAAGTCCAGGTAAAAACCAAGGGCAGATTTCAATGCACTTCTGATTATTCTGGAGAGCTTGAAGTCTTTCTTAACTGCAATGAGCCTTTCTGGAAAATTACCTTAGACAGGGTATGGTACAGAATTCTGCAGATATGTTTCACTTCTTTCATCAAGATACTTAGTACTCAATGGTACATTAACATTTTTTGGTATTCTGTTTTACATAACATGCTGTTATGCCCCTGTCGGAGTCTGAATCCAAGGAGGAAAACGAACAGCTGACAGGGAGTGGGAGCGTGGCTCCGTTGGCTGTGGAGGAAACTGGGGAAGGGCAAAGTCTGGCTGGGCAGAGGAGAGGAGAGGTAGAACAAGGGAGAAGGAATTCAGAGGAAGACCCAGGCCCACCCCCTCTTCATCCTAGGGCACGCAGGGAGGAATGGAGAAGGGAGCAATGTGGGTTGTGTGATTTATGGGGGAGGAAAGGGTCCTGATTCCCTTAAGTAGCTGCAGCTGGGAACACAGTTTATAAAAAAGGCAAGCTGACTACGGCAAGCTGTTGGGAGCAAACTGACTTTATCTTATATTGTTGTGGCTTATCTGTGTTCCTGATGTCTTCCCAACTGTGTGAGTTTTACTGTGCTTTCAAGTCTGAAATTCCTTCTCCTGCCCTGCCAAATTAATCATTTCAGTTTGGCTTGGTTGGACTTTAAGTTACAGTTTGTGTTTACCCTGTTTTGGACTGAATTTTCTGCAGTCAAAGGCTGTTCCTGGGAGAGTTTTTTCTCCATCCCAGAAGGTAACCTGGACATTAGGGGCAAAGTTGGAGATAATAAAGGGACTCTTATTGATTATCTGACTGCGTTGCCTTTGTGCCACATCCCGGGTCATCACACATGCCCTGCCTCCAAAGTTTTGGAAGTCCATCAATAGGTAGCTGTCTAATTGTAAGTTCTGCGGTTTGAGCTGTCACTCCAAAAGAAGAGCTAAGATTCAAACTTAAGAGACAAAGAGAAAGTCACATACTTACTCAAGTTTATGCTTTCTTTTAAACTCTTGCATTCATTTTGTCATTTGCTTTGTTTGTTAGATAAAGATTTGGGGCTGAAGACTTCGTCTCCTTCAGTAACCACGTCTGAGAAGTCAGAAGAGGAAGAACTTCTGGAAGCCAACAAGCAGTTTGGAGAAAAACTGCCAGCGGACTTATTGATCAAAGAGTCACCCGAACATTACAGCCAAAGTAGCCCAGAGCTCTCATTCCAAGCTTCAGAAAATCGATGGGCGTTGGATGCACTAAGAAACCGTAAGTAGTTGAAGATGCATGAATCTGTAAGGCCTGGGTAGAAATTTTGTCTGATGGGTTTAGAGGTATCTGTTGCCCCTTGAACAAATGAAGATAACCTGCCTTTCAAAGATAAGAGTAAAAGAAAACCAGATGATCAGCCTATGACTGTATTCCAATAATAGCACCGGTGTTGTGTGCATATGTCTTCCACTTTGCCTGAGCTTAGCTTTCCCTAAACAAAGTGAAAGGCGACTTGGACTGCAGCTCCTAACTTCTCTGACCCCTGGCTCTTTGACTGAAGGCTGATGGGAGTTAGTGCCAGGTTGGAGAAATCTGGCTTCTGGCTTCCAGTTTCTAGAAGAGAGAGAATACTTGGCAGGACTTGACTTTGGTGCTTTTGCATTTCCCTTCCAGTGGGTTTATTGAAGAAATTACTGATGCAGCAGCTTGGCATGTCTGAACAAGTGTCCCTTGAAGACTGGCATCCTTTTTCTGACCACAGAAGAGATCTGCCAGGGGCCCCTGAGGAGAACATTGTCAAGAGAGGACTTCAGTTCTCAGATAACGACGACAATGCCCTGCCTGGGCCTGGAAGGACACCCACGGGGACAAAAACAAATGACTTTGAACTTAGTTGTGATAAATGGCCTTCAAACGAATTGGTATCGCCAGGGGAGGCTGTGTTGCCTAGCGGGCAGTTGATGGACCCCTTGAGAACAAACCCAGAGCCCCCAGCCAAGGAACTGGAAGGAGGAGCCAGTGCTGCTGAAGATGGTGGGGAGCACTTTTTTGATGCTCAGGAAGCTCACACCGATGAGAACCCATCAGAAGGCGATGTGGTAGATGGGAAAGAGACGGAAGAGGTGCAGCTACGGATCTCAGGTGAGTCAGTCCAGCCGGATGCAAACCTGAAACAGACCGCTGCGTTGTCAAAGCTCCTGGGTGTTGTTGGGACGGATGGTGGAGCGCTTCTGAGCCACGACAAAGCCTAAGAGTATCTGCTAAATGCTGAATTCTCTCGTTAAGCATGTTCCTGGTAATCAGAGTTTCTCTGGAAATGTTTGAAATGCATTGGGAGAGAAATAAGAAATAGGATTAGGAGGGCTGGTGTCGGATCCCAGCCATTGGCTGTCTTGTCTTGGACCTTTTCCGTCTGATCTTTTGGGTCAATAAAAGACTGATTAAATCCAATTAGAGCTTCATCACTGGAAGCTTTCAAGAAGAGACTGGACTGCCATATGTCAGGAATGGTGTAGGGTTTGCTTGGGCGGGGGGGTTGGACTAGATGACTTACAGGGTCCTTTAATCTGTATATATATTAATCTGTATACTCTCCTTCCGTCCACCCGAAATCCCATTCAGATTGCCGGTTCCCCTACGTGCCACATGCTTTTAAGAAATTGCACATTTTTTTCCATTTAGCATAAGTGCCACCTCTCTTTCCTTCCAGAGCAAGGGCAAAATGTGGCAGGAACTAGTTGGCAGTGGTACAACTTCATAACAGAAGGGTTGAGAGAGGAAGTTTGCATGAGACACACAGACACAGATAGGTTGGGTTATATGCTCCTCCAAGCCGTTTATGGAGGCATTAAGGTTGTTCTCTTTGTAGGAAATTATTTGATCCTTGATGGATATGGCACAGTACAGGAGAGCTCCACCGACGAAGAGGTAACTTCGCTCGTTCTACAGTGCACTGCAGACAGAAGCACAATGGACTCTGCCCACCAACAACCCAGGTCTCGGGATGGCCAGCCAGTTACCGCCAGCTCACCATTTACAGAGGAATTGCTAGCCTCCCACTGGCAAGCTGCCAAGGAATCCAGTTCAGAAGCGTTAAGAACATCCTTCTCTGTCGAGTCGCGCACCCTGATGATGTGTTACATCCAGAACATAGAGGCCAGCCTTCAGCATTTGAAGGTAGCGTGTTCTCGCGTAAATGGAGCATCTTTTATATGCATACATACATACATACATGCATATACACACACACACACACACACACACACACACACACATATATATATAAATGGCTACATTTTAGAGAACTGGAGATTTAAGAGGCTTGTGGGGAATAAGTCATCCAGAGAGGTGTGTTTATCTTCTTGACTGGTTTTCACAGTATCTTTTCAAACTAATGTTCAGTTCTGCACTATAAATTCTAAAATCAGGAGAATCAGATGTTCTCCAGAATGTGTGTGTGTGTGTGTGTATGTATATATATATATGTATGGTATTCAGCTTTATTCAGGTATTTTCCCACATCACTATAGTTGTGCTTTTAAAGTTGTAGCAACGTTTCGGCAGAATCTCATTTTGTTTTGTCAGTTTGTCAGACGAACACAACACAGAAGCCTGATGATGGCAGATGAGATTCTGCCGAAACGTTGTTGCTCAAGATTAAAGATTGCTCAAGATGAAAAATGAAAACCTTGGAATAACCCTGAGGAAGAGAAGCGTTCATGTCTGGAGAATGTGAATGAACGTTGGGAATGACTTCTAGAAAAGAACTGCATTGTGCAGTTTAAAGCTTAGAAGACTAAATGTAAAGGTTGCAATCGGTGTTGTTTTATCAAAGCCAAGGTGTTGAAACTTCTTGAGTCAAAATTAAACAAAACCCTATTCGAGTCTCAGAGGCTCAAGAAGAGAAGAGTCAATATTTTATTTAGAGGAATCTAGCAGAGCCGACAGTCCTAAAATCAGACAGCTTTGATGAGAGCATAAGTGTCCTAAATGGAAGAGTTGGTTGCCACCTTATAAACAGATTCTTGCCTAACTTTGGGTTGAAGAATTTGTGTTCTGCACTCAAACATCAAACATTTATTTTAAGGTAGCCGTTTTGTGCTCTCTAGTGTCCAGCCTTCGAAGTTGTCTTTATTAGCTTCACAGTATATAACAAAGGATTTTCCCCTGAAAAAGGATCTTTTCAATTAGCTTCAGAGGCTTAAATCAAGCCCCTCTGAGCAACAATAATCATCGTTTTGCTGCTTATTCCTCCCCCCTCCCCCCATTTTTTAATTCAAATCTTTGAACATGTGTAGGTAAACCTTACTTAAAGGACCGAAGGAAGCTCACCTAGTGATTTCAATAAAACTTGCCAACCTGAAAGTTCTGTCTTTTTTTAAAAAAAAAAGTCACTGGGGAAAAATTGAATCCGAAGTGATGAAAAGATGAGCCTTGATTGAATTTAAAGTCCATGTTGGCAATATTAGCTACTATAAGCACAATGAAGTCCTGATTCCCAGCCAGTGACAGTTCCTGCTGTCTGCTCACAGAGAGGGAGGGAGGGAGAATAGGCTGTACGAAGTACATGTGGGTAACCTTGCATTCTCTCCTTACTGTGGAGAGTTTTTGGCAGTCTCCGTCCCCTCTCAAGCAGCGTTTTTTGGCCACGGTGTTTCTCTCTCAAGTACTTCACCATGGTCGTTCATCAGAATCTCTTCAAGGGTGTCTGGTGGATTGTGTTTTTCAGGAAGTGGAGGAAAACTACGCCGCTCTTCTTCAGCATAGGCTCTCTGGCTCCATCACCACAGATGAGCATTCAGGTAGGCCTGTCCTATTCCTCTAATAGCTGAGCTGATAGGAAAGCAATGTGTTAATAATGTGCAGGATTTAGCTCCAAGGGAATCTACTGAGTGGTGCTTGTTGAATTCTTCAGTTTTCACGACACTTTTTTTTTTTTTTTAAACTGGTTACAAAACATTATGAATCAATGCCTAGTGTTGCCGATTGCGCGTTTCTGGCCTGGTGTCCTCTCCGCTTAGCATTTTCCCTTTTGCTAACGTCTGCTTGTGTCCCTTTCTAAACAAAGATGCCCAGTCTAGGACTCCCAAAAGCCCTTGTTGCCACATTTTTATATTGTGCATTATTAAATACATTGCGTCAGGGATAAACATGGTGGCAACATTTCATCTTATTTAAATGTTAATCAAACAAAATTACATTTAATTTGTGGAGAGATGTCCTTGGCATGCCATTTAAAGGCCAAGTTTAATCTATCTCAGCTTGGAAAGGGTTGCACCACCCCTTAATTAATGGAACAGTTGCATTCTAAAGAACCAGTTTTGGGGGAAGGAATGGTTCGAAAATCTTCCCAGGTTCAGAATTTTGATACCGTTTTGGAAATCAGTAAAAATGGTTTATCTGTTCAGTTCTCAGAACTGAAGAAGCTTCTTGGATGAGAAGCAAAATGCTTTCAAAGGAAAAAAAAATACCACAAGAAAATCCAGTTGCCTTTTGGAAAAGCACCGTTGGGATAACCTGCATGATTGAGAAGATTCTTGGTGGTTTTCTTTTCAGCACTTTTTTCTGTTTCTTTTTTTGTCCTCAGATAAAAGTTAATCCCCTGCTTGCCAGTCTGGAGATTGGATGGAACCTTCTGCCTTGAGTCAGCCTCAGCCGGCCTCTGCCTGGACTCTCTTGGCCTTAGGCCTCTTTCAATGGACCCTTCAGGCGAGGCGGGGGGGGGCAGGGGGGACACTCCACATAGTGGAGAAGGAGGCAGTTTTTCCTTTGAGGTGTCTGCACTAGCCTTTCAGGGAGAGGGTGGAGTGATTTTAGTTCCCCTCCTCTTGCTACCAGAAATTCTTTTTGATTCCAAACAGAGGAAAAAAGAGGAACAGAAAGAAGAAACCAAATGTATAAAGTTCTGGGTGTAGGATATAAAAATGTATCTATACATTAAAAAAAAAATCAATGTATTTATTTGACTTCATTCCGTGTACTGAAAGCACACTTTAATTTGTATTTTATTTTGCTTTTTTTAAAAAAAATGATAGTGCCAGTTTGCTAGGTTCCCAGCATCTCTCTTCTTCTCCTGAACCCTTCTTCTGAACTGAGGTGTGTGTGTGTGTGTGTGTGTGTGTGTGTGTGTGATTTTTCCCCCTGGATTCTGCCAACAATGTTCCTCAGGAGGAGTTTTTTGGGGGGAGCGAAATCTAGCAGCATGCAGACAGCCTTTCTTCTTGTGCACTTCTGTGTGCACTACATAGCCAGGGAAGGATTTCAAACTGGCAACCAAATTTCTCTTTGGGAATGCCTTTGTTTTTCCTGTGTTGAATTAAAGAGAGATGAGGATCGGAATTTGGGAGCTGTGTTCCCTGCTGTGTTCCCTGCCCAGGTACTGGTTTTATTGTGACTTCCTTTTGAAAGCAATAACTCGATATTTGTAGCCTGGAGCAGGAGTGGAGATATTTTGCCAGTTAAGAGAAAACGATAACATTTGTCAGAAATTTCTGAGGCCACCGTGTTTCTAATGAACTGTGCAGTGTAACTGCTGCAGAAGATAGCCACTAGGTTGGAAGGTAGGGGCCAGAATTGTTCAGTATCCAGAAGTGTGCCTTACTGACTGGTGTGGGTAGTAGACTGAGCGAGACCTAGCTGGGAATAGTGCTGGGTTGTTTTTTTTTTTTCTTTATGCAAAAAACGCTCTGAAATCACACTAGGAACATCTGCAGTAGAAGAATCAGGAACAGATACCACCTCTGGTATAATAATCTCAATGCGGGGCTGATATCCTGATGGAGCTGGGGCTTTTCAAGCTTTATAGCATTGATGTAGAAAATGAAGTCCCTGGGTGGGGTTGTCTACTTTGGGTAGTTTGTTTTCATGCAGGATACATCTCACTTGAAAAACCTTTCTCCCTGTACCAGCTGTCCAATCCTTAGGTCTTTTCTTTTTTTCTGGCAAGCCAGATCTAAACATGCCAAATTCTAGAAATCCCTTCAATGTTTTAAAACCATGCTGAATGCCCTGTAAAGTGTGGAGTTTCTTCCTTCTTTTTCTTACTTTCAGCATGAATATCGTAGAATATGCTCCGTTAATGAGGGGAAGCATTTTTTCCCCATTGCCAGGAAGCCAGATCCATTTCCAACTTACAGGGAAGAGCTGTAAGAGCAGGAGCTATTGTTGAATTCCCCCCCCCCCACCTTCCCTAAAATTTCCAGTCAATTTACTGGTGCATATTGAAGGCAGGAAACTTCCTATTTTATCTGGGTCGCGAAGTAATTTGGGTCTGAAGCTACCAAATACTCAAAAGGAATTCTTTTCAGTTCCTTGTTATCAGGGCCAGCCTGCAGATTCTCAGTTCTAAACTTCTCCCTCCTAAAATTCCAAGCAATTCTCCAAGTGGAAATTTATGTTCAGAAAATCAGACCCAGATTAGAGCTAACCTTGTTTTTTAAAAGTATTTCCCTATTTTCAAAGGGGTAAGCATTTTGGTCACTTCCAGGCGAGATGGGCAGCAAAGAAGTTTTAACAAATACGTTTTTCCTTCGGTCCCCGAACCCTGGCATTTTCACCTTCCTCTGCTTCAGTTCCTCATCTGTGGAGCCATAGGAAGTCAGATCCAGATGTAGACCTTTCCCTAAATATAAGTAGGTGAAGGAGCCCAGAAATTGGTAAATTCTTGGGGAGGTTTGGATGCCACTCCTTACAGACCTTGTGGCAAGACCAGTGTCTGATCGTCTGCCGTACCTCTGCCACACAGTGCTTCAGCATCCTGAAAAAAAGAGAGGTGGGGTCAGGATGCCCAAAGGCTCTGCCAGGCAGCCAAAGGGCCAAAAATGAAGGCTTGTTTGACCTCTACAGAGGACAGATCATTTGCCCCCCCCCCCCCCCCTTCCTGGAGAGTAAAGCAGAGCACTCTGTTCTTGTCTCCTTTTGTGCGTGCACGTGTGTGTGAGTGTGTGTACTTTTGGTCCAGGCTTCTCTAGGCCACCTATTACACAATCTCCTGTTAAGGGCATTATTATTTTATGATTAAGAAAGAGAAGGTTGTGAGAAACAGGGATCACCAACTGCTTCCAGCATCCTAACTGACTATCGCAGGAGATGCCTCGAGTCCCTCGCGCGTCTACTGTACAACAGGCCCCGAGCACAGGTCCATTTTTATGAAAAGGGTCAACCCTAAAAATGCACTTTGTGGGATTCCCATTGATGTCGAACTTTTGGATCCTTGATGTTCTAGATCAGCCATGAGGAATTCCAGCCAAAGAGACTTTCCCTGATCTTCCCCACTGGCTGTGATCATGTCTTCCTTGGGCCCGTCTTTTTCTCCTTCACATCCTTTTCTTTCTTTCTTTCTTTCTTTCTTTCTTTCTTTCTTTCTTTCTTTCTCTTTCTCTCTCTCTCTCTCTCTTTCTTTCTTTCTTTCTTTCTTTCTTTCTTTCTTTCTTTCTTTCTTTTCTCACTCTCACATTGTCACTCTCACCACCCACCCACCCTTGGCTGGCTGAAAATAATACAAGCAATGAAAAACTTTTTTTTTTTAACCAGAGAATATTATGTTGTTTGCGCTAGCTTCACATTTAGGATGCCTTTGTTTTTAACCTGGATTTATTGGACTCGCATGTTGGAATTTGGGCTCGACAAAGTACAAACTCTGAGTCTAAAGACAGCTTCGTTCCCTCTTGGTTTGCATGTCCTTTGACTGTACACCCAAGACTAGCGTTTCTGAACTTTGGCAAGTTTAAGACATTGCTGCTGGGGAATTCTGGGAATTGAAGTCCACCCATCTTAAAAATGCCCAAGGTTCAGAAACTCTGCCCAAGATGAAGAGAGTTTGGAGGATTCTGATGGGATAGTGGATTGCTTGGGCTTAGGGTTGTCCAGAGCCATCAGAAGCTACAGATGCAATTCATAAAAAGGAATCTGCTTTCCTAGATGCCTCTCATTAGCTCTGAGTTCTCCGCTTCTTACTTCCCCGTTGACTAAATCAGCGCTGAACAGCCACGTCTCAAGGCCTGCCAGACTGCAAAGCACGTGTTTCATTTTTGAAAATCGTTCTCCCATGTCCCTACATGAGGCTGGAAACAATGATTCCCGGTCCTGCATGGAGGTCTGCTTAGAATGACCCACGGGTCATTCTAACCCCTCCAAGTTCCAACCAGCTCCTCTGTCTTGCCTTGCTGCCTGTGTAGACGTGAGCTTGCCACTGATTCACACAATGAGACATTGAGCAGGAGACAAATTGAAGTCAGGTTGTCTTCACTCTTTTGGGGTGGTGGTGGTGGTGGTTGGTGTTATCTTTTTCATAACAGTCCTCTCTCGCCCGCCTGCCAATTTTCTTCCCCAATCGACCCTTCAGAGTAGGAGTGGCAAGAAATAGGATCGCTTGATGGCATGAGGGAAAGATCATATAAGGTTCCCCTTATTGCTTTGGGATGTTGGATATTCTTGACTGTTGGTGCTGAGTTCCTCCCGGAAAATATTGATTGCTTCTGAGAGGAAAAAAAAAGAGACCCTTAACAACTAAAGTGCAAGAGAAGTTGCGTAGCTGAAAGACCCATACAGTATTATCTTTTACTCTGCCATATGTCAGGATAACTTTTTTGGTTTTGGTAGCGGGGAAAAAAAAAAACCTACTTTATTCGTGCGGTTTCCTCATCTTAGAATCTCAATGCTGGTTGTACATTGGATGAGTGAATTGCATCTCCCTCGCCCACCCTTCTCTTTCATTCCAAGGAAGTCCCTTGCTCTTATTCCTCTCTCTTCTCCTTCCCCCTGCACCAACTTATAGGCAGATGCTGTCAAAATGGATTCTGCAGCTGGAATGTTACTCTGCTCTTCTTTTTTTTAAAAAAAAATGGAATTGTTTGTTGTAATGCTCTAACTGCTAGAATTGTATTTTATTTGCTTGCAATGCATATTACTCCTTTTAACAGATTCTGCTTTTAAGGAAAAACAACAACACAAGACTCCAATCTGAAAATACTCTTTGGAAAGGAAAATGCAAAAAACAAACCAACAAACAAAAGGACAAGAACAATAAGACAGATCAAATATCCTGTATTTTTAACTGATCATGTTTGAATGTCTAAGGAAAGAAAAAAAAAAAGAATTTATTGTTCTAATTATCCAGATGTATGTATGTTTGTAAAATAGCTCTTATTAGCTGATAAGGTTGTATGTTTTTGGAACAAAATATTGATCATTAAAAAAAGTATTGAGATTTGTGGGTGTTTTTGGATTTTGGGGAAACCTATAATTCAAGCATTCAGATATCAGTAAATAAGGTCAAAAAAGCCAACATTTGACGGTGATGTTCTTCACGGGGTTTAGAATTTGACAGCAGCAGCAGCTGTCACGGGTGTTATTGACAGGCCAATAAATTGGTTGTAACTCGGTACAATTCACCCTTCTGAGTCAGCAACACAATTATGAAAGATGGTATATTTTTTCCTCCCAGGGTCAGGGCTTAATATAACACATGGAATAGCTATAGCTGGATGGTGCAGCACATTTCCCAAGGCTCCAGGTCACTTCTCTGCATTTTGATCTTGAAAGATCCTTGTTGGATTGTAAGCTGAGAAGACTTTTTAACTGTCAAGAACTTGCTGACCCTCAAGAATAGACAGCAGTTTGGATAAAGGAGTGTTTCCAAACCAGGCTGACAAGGTCAGTCTGTCCTGGTGCATTTGGGATCTTTTTCAGTTTTGTGGACCACCGTTTCCGAAGAGTGGTAGGGAGAACAATTTGAGTTGGATTCTCAGTTTCTTTTTAGACAGAGAACGTGTCAGAATGCTTCATTCTGGCTTCCATATTTATGGGGAGTGAATGGGGTGGACACAGTCCAGTTAGGAATTGGGTCATATCAGCCCATAAGGCTAATTTTTTTTCCCTGAAGAACCTTCTGAGGTCATTTTGGAGTCCAGAGGTATTCTGGACACTAAAAATGATGCTGGGAGTTTTGCAGCATTTTTAATTTTCCCAGTTCTTACTGCTACGTGAGGCAGAAAGAGCAGCAGGCAGTAAGATAAATTGGACTAATAAATAATAATGCATATTTTATTCACTTGTGTATTAGCTGTGCAAATCTTTTTATTTACACGTATCAATAGACGGCTAATACGATGCTATATTTATTCATCTAAGCAGGATGTTCAGAAGAGAGGAAAAAAGATTCCCAGAACAAATTGTTTTCCCCTCTTCCCCACCACCACCCCAAGCCCAAGAAAAGAAAGAATAGCACAATTATGGGGAAAGGACAGAATTAGGTATGTATGACAAACAAGGGACACCGTCGATTCAAGGACAGTCTAGTAGTTTGCTTGCAAGCACAGCACGTTGCTCTAAAACGTAAGGAATGACAGTCGTAAGATTTGCAGGAGGACCTGGGTGTCGTTTTGTACATAACGTTGCCACAAAGTCAAGGTCCTTCGTTGACTTATTAAAATGCAGCCTCACTTTTCTGCTTTTAAAAAGTTAAAAAGCGTAGCTTTTCGCAGCACGGGAAAACTGAATATCAGCAAAAAAAATAATCATAATTGCAAAAGGAAGAAATGATACAACTGGTAAAAACTGAGACGTCTTTAGGCACGCCGGCTCAGTAGCAATTAGAGCCTTCGCCAAGTTCATCCATGCGCCGATTTCATGCACATCCTTCCCCACCCAAACGTTGAGCATTTCTTGGGCCCCAGGCGGGAACTGGAATTTTGAAGCCATTCAAAATCTTGAGAAGCGTCATTTGAGCTGCACTTCATGGGTCAGAGAGCTCACCAAGGATGGCTTTGCAACCGGTTACAAACTGGTTATTAAATAAGCTAAGTTTAGGCCATTGGTTTTTCATCTCTTGCTTCAAGGTCGTCTATTCCCAATCTTGACCACTTTTAAGACATGAAGACTTCCGAAACCAGGGGAATTCTGGGAGTTTTAAGTGCACACATCTTAAAGTTGCCACAGTTGTATAACCCGATTTAAGCCGTAAGGAAACTGCCACAATGAAAACACACCATGACAGAAACGGAGCCTTGAGAAATTTCCCATTCTCCCGTTTTCTCGATATTGGACATTGTATTTTTTTCCCCCTCCACTCTTCTTCCATCTTTCCCTGTTCTTATTTATCCTGATGTTTTTATCCCACCGTTATTATTTTTATAAACGATACACATTCAAAAGTACTCATGAGATTCAGATCACAGGGCCCTGTATTTAACGTTTGCAGTCAGCTTCTGGTGCCCGCATAGATTGTTTCGCCATTACTTTCTGTTTGTTTATTTGAACAAAACAACAGGTTTAAGGGCACCACATCTTAAATTTATCTTTCCATTAGTCAGAATGGGAGTTTTCTATTGAGCTTGATAGCGGCTTCCAATATACTCAGTTGTCTGGGACTATTGAATTATTTGTAATCTTCCTCTGTATCCCTCTCCCTCATAATCTCTGTATAAAAGATGCCATTTATTTCTACGTAATTGTTCGTTTGAGCTCTATTTTGCGTTTCTGATGATAAGCTTTCCTGTTATCTTTGCCATTTTTTTCCTCACCTCGTTAGGATAGCAAAAATAATAACTGATTTAAGACAGACTATTGTTGCCTTCTGTGTTTTCCTAAAGCTACTTCTCTCGAAGCTTACCAAGAAGATGAATGGGAACAAACAATTTATTCATTTCTCATGGCAGGAGAGGAGGAAAAAAAAAAAAAGCCATTTTCCTAGTTCCCTCTCCCTTTCATGGAGCTGTATTTATATCGGAGGAAAGTGGCAACAACTGATTGCAAAATAAATAAATAAATAAAACGAAACACAAAACAAAAATCTTTTAATAGAAGGTGACTTTCTTTCAGCTTCCAGGTCTTATTAATTTGGAGCCATCTCCCAAAATGAATGAACTTGTATTCATTTCTGTTCCACCCCATTAGAATCGAACATCTTAAGTCATTTTCAACTGGGTGGCTGTAGAAATCCAATAACTAAATTAATATAAATGTGTGGCGTCTTCCGGTAAGGCTGAACCGTGGGAAACACACAACAGAAAGCATTTCTCCTCACCGTGTTTTTCTAAAACAGTGGAATTGGAAGAGGCAATGGTGGCCACAAACTTAGAAAAATTTAGAGGTTGAGGTTTCTACTGCCAATTGCAGGTTGATGCCACTTTGTCTTCGAAATCAGCTGATGGGCTTCTTGAAACATTAAATCCTTCTTTCCGGATGATCAGATTCAATCTAAATAAATAAATGCATTTGGTCTCTGCTCCAAGGCTGAAGTAGATAGGGCATCTTAAGGAAGAGAGCTCTTTTTTGTGT